GCGAAGGATTTATGGTCATGTAAGTGTGTGGCATGCCAAAGTAACCAAAGTAGCTACGTATCTCATTTCTGACCTGAATTTTTGAGGCTTGAGAACCAGGAATATGTCCACCAATAGTGTTCACATGCCTTAGCAAGTCTAATGCACCTTTCTGCTGGTCAGTCAAATCTGCATATTTACCTTCATTCTCAAGATGGTTAGAAACTGACATAAGCAAGGAGGGTGAAAGAGTGACTAATCTTCTAGCGATAGTCTGAAAGTAGGGCTTTTGTACTGCAAAGTGTGTGTGTAAGTGAGCAGAGCGACGCTGCCATATATTAAGTGCAATGAACATAAACATGTGATGATACCGAAATGCCTTGTCTGCAAGATCAAGATAGTGGTTGGCCTGAGTATCAAACTCTATTGGCTTTGGCCTACTAGGATCTTCAAACCCACCAATGCCAAATGGATATAGTGTTGGAAACATACCTGGAAACAAGTTAGGATTGTTGTATTCAGAGACAGGCAGCATACCATGATGAACTACAAGATCAGGTTGCGATGCAGTTGGATTAACTATACTTCTTATTGCCGCAGCAGTAAAGCTTCTCCCACTAAGTTTATCTCCTTCTGGATCTGACATGCCCATTTTCTCCATCATAAGTTGTGGTTCATTTGATGGAGGACAGCTTTTGGCAAATAATTCTGCAGGATGTTCTGAAAAGCCTGCTGTTTCATCTTGAAATATAAGTGTAGTATCCATTCTGTGATCTTCAACAATTCGTGAACTAAGACCTGGTAACACATCATCTTCAGGATACATATCAAGTGCAGACAGATCAAAAGTCATATGTTTATACAATTTGTTATAACTCTTAAGCCATAGTAAGAAGCTCCAAATCTTACGCTTCCGCACACGATACATGTTTCCTACGTACTCAGGCTTAAACTTATGTGGACCAATAAAAACAACTGTAAGCATACCAGCAACATCGGCAGGTGTTCTTGGAAGCACTGATGCTGTGGAAACAACATTTAAATCATGTGCACATGTGTTTCCATGAAACACCTTTGGCTGTGCAGGGTCAGATGACTGGTAAATTCTTGTGACATGTGCAGTGCTACGGTAGATTGCACAAACCATTTCTTCAACCCAGGTTATATCATTGTATTGCTCAGGTAGACAACCACAATACAGATTATTAACTAAGCCATATTGTGGTGTAGTACAATGTTGTATTGCTGTATAGCAGCTCGAACAAATTTTGATAGCTGTGACCATGCCATTATCATAAGTCAGCCCTTTCTTATCCAACATACAGCCATCTAACCTTGAGTCCTTAAAAAGAAACTCAGAGCTATTCTGTTTAACTACACAGTTTTCTAGAATGAAAGGATCTGTGATTTGGAATGCAGATAATACTTGCTTATTCAGCAGTAAACCATCCATCTTATATTCAGAAATATGAATCTCATGTGACTGACGAGCACATACAGCACAAATTGAAGGTGAATGCCACTGAGTATGAGTGTAATAATTGTTCAGACAGTTAAGAATCACATCGTGAGGAACAAGTTGTGGCCATGCATCAATATATGCTTTTGTCTCTGCACTGTCCTGTTCAATTTCTAATGCCTTTTCAACTCTACGCTGCTCTTTCTTTGCATCACTGTTTGCATGAGACTCCATGTTTAATTTATCAAAAATCTCAGATGGAACACTTGACTTTAGTAGCTTGAAAATGAGTTCACTACGAGGACTACATAACTCACTCTGAGATAAGAATGGTAAATGACACAAGATAGTATTCAAAAACTTTGAAGATTCAACTTTGAATAAGTACTGGGACAACTCAACAATATGCTCAACTATAACTGTACAACGTGCATGACGTTTTACCGGCAATTGGTTTATAAATGTAATACCATAGTTATTAAGTGTTCGCATTAACACAGATGACAAACAGTGAATGAGAACACTAGCTGGAGTGACAAACCAGGGTAATTCTATACATAATTTTACAGGCGGTATGGCATATCCAATTAATGGATGTTCCTCAAAAAGTGGAGAGTTCGCAGAACGTATTGCTAGTGCTACAGGTTCACCATACAATTTAATATACAGAGCACTGAGCAGAGCATACCGAGATTTGAGAAGTTGATCATCACCATGCAGACACTTTGCTACATCTTCATTGGACATGATAGCAACAGATGCACGACTCAATTAAAAGTCAACAAGAAGTCTTCTGCAAATCTGAGACTTGTTACGACCTTTCTGAGGTATTAAACAGTGAGATGACACAGCTGCAGACTGCAGAGTATGAAGACTTAACCTTTGAAGTGTACACAAATACTGTTCATCGGACAAATAGAACCATGAGGGATTGAAATCTGCCATGGCTAAAGTCAATCGCTTACACTACTTCAGTCCGAAAATTTAAATGTGTTTGAACACAAATTCTTAGTGTACTTGAACACAAACACTTAGCGTGCTTGAACACAAAATATTTAATGTGCTTGAACACAAAATATTTAATGTGCTTTAACACGAAATGTTTAACGTGCTTGAACACGAAATGTTTAACGTGCTTGAACACGAAATGTTTAACGTGCTTAGACACAAACTCAATTAAAACAGCACAGTGAAACTGTGAACACAGTATCACAAATAGCAACTGCATCGTGCAAATTAAACTGTAAGTATCCATTTGAACAAGTCAACAAGCATAGATGCACGTACACTTGTCTGAAACAGTCGCAAAAAACGCGAAAACTATGTCTTCAAGAGAGCAGGTCCGCATAGATTCTACATAGTTTAGTGGTGAATCAGTAGATTAGTAATAATACGAGAAGAAGAATACACTCACGTGCAAAACAGAATGATGTCGTATAGCGACTCGTCGAGGAGCGACACTGAGGTGTAACATCGTCCAGCAGCGCCAACATCGTCGAGAAATCGAGTGCGCATGTGATGTTTGCGAGCGCCATCCTACGTGAATAGACCTGCGCTGGAACACCGTTGGCAGGTCGAGCGCAAGGGCAAAACATTCGCGAGCGCGATCTTACGTAAATAGACCTGCGCTCGAACAGTGTCGACAGGTCCAGTGCAACAGCGACGTTCGCAACCGGAAGCCTAGACGGAGTCAAGACTCAAAATCGTAAGTGTTGTTACTCAACTTATTTACTGATGTTGTTTTCGCACAACTTCATTCGCAGAGGCGTCTGCCATTTCCCCTTGCCAAAGCCCTCCTCCAGTTCCTGGAGTCGGGGATGTCTTCGCGCACGACGCTCTGGCCCGTCAAGCTCCCGACGGCCGCCTAGCTGTTTTGCTGAATGGCGATGGGTCTACTGATCCTGGAGCTGCCGACCCAGCGTGTATCGGGGAAAGCATTCACTTCCTCATGCCTCGCATCCGTCCACAGCAGCCTTCGATGTTAGAAGGTGCGGAGAAGATGCTGTCTTGCATCGTCAACGAATGTCCTCGGGTACCCGTTTCGAAGGAGAGAAAACGAGGTGAGTTGCTCCTCTCTCATAGGATCGATGTCGTCCAGATCTGGTCCGATGCAGTCTACATGCTTCCTCCCTTCCTCGTCTCTACAGCTGTGTTCTACTCAGGCAGCACCGATTCACCATTTGATCCAAGGTGTCTGCTCCGCATGGGGTTGCAGCAGATCATTAACGCGGTGAAAGCTTTACAGACACCGAGTGGGGAGTGATCGCATATCTTCGACCTATCTACTTACGAATTCAAGCGAAGGGCATTCTGGGGCATCGGCAATAGCTGGTTGCGTGGAGGTATCATCAGGGTTATTCCGCTCGCTCTTATGCTCCAATCCCAACCTGTTCGTGGGTGATCCAGAGCTCGAAACGTTGCTGCTCGAGAACTATTGCATCCTCATATCCGCTCTCCATGCATGCAGGACGCATCGGCGTGCCGACGGACTGTTCCACGATGTCCTCAACGACCCCTCGACATTCGTGGAAATGAATCTTGTCCAGGAACTGTCGTGCACGCTCTTTCGCCTGCTCGATCTGCATCTCTACGAGACGTTGCCGCCATTCATGCCGTTCCCCAAGCCCACGCCCGATGAAGTGGTGGCTTATGAGTTCTGGGCGAGAGCTTGCGCATGGCAGCCGTGGAGAAAACGGACGAATGGGGCTTTGTGCAGAGTAGCCTGAGGTTTGGTAAACTAGGGACCGCGGCTGGGGGACAATTGTGTGGGGTGTGCTCATGGAGGTGGCGCGGGCGCAATATTTGCTACAGAAGCGGACGTAGACAGTGAAGTCCTGATACATAACGCACTGAAGCTTGAAGTTTTGTATAACACAGGCTCCATAGGGCACTTTCTATGCATCTTGTAGAACCTACTTGACGGAAAAGAAAATCAACTTCGAGTTCACTCTACGCGAGAGCAATTGCCAAAAAAGAAAGAAAATAAATATTGAGACCCGTAGGTCTACCACTCCGGGAAAGCGTGTCATCCTTGTGCAGGGGCCATGCTAATCTTCTCTGTATCGTTCCAATTTTTTCGTATGTCACCCCGAAGGGGACACTCGAAAAGGAAGGCGGAGTGGTATGTAGCATGTGTTTCTGCATTTTGTTGAGCTCGCGGGTATGCGCATGAAATTAACACCCACGCACCACCGAAGCACCAGCCACCTCCGAGTCGTCGAGCCAGAATCAACAACGCGCATATAATTCAGTTTATTTTCCTTGAGTTGGTCACTATGACCAGCGTATCCGAGCCGCAGGCCTTCAGGGTCTATGGTTGGATTGCTTGCATATGGATCCTCGTAGTGTCGTTTCAGGTGAGTTCACCGTCTGTTCATTTCTCCTTCGCGTACTAAATTCTGACGCAGGTAATTCATGTAATGCCCAATGTTGAAACGAAATGACAGTGCTATGTCAGTACGGTTATCACATCTCAGCACTGAACCAAATCCAAGCTGTCCTCACATGCGGCAATTCAGCTACAGGGCCGACCCTCTACTATGGTCTGCCGACGTGCATTCCAATGTCTGACGCGACGTTCTCCGTGGTCACCTCTGTCTATACCGTTGGTGGCCTGTCCGGTAGTTTGGGAGCCAACCTCGTCATGGACCGCTGGGGCAGGAAAGGGGCGGTCCTCACCAGCTCAGTGGCTATGGCTTTTGGTGCAGGCATGATGGGGGTCGCTGCTTCATTAACCCCACTGGTGATTGGACGGTATGTCATCAACTGCTGCTGCATAGTCAGAGTCTACAATGGTCGTGTTCAGACTAGTCACTGGAATGGGTGCCGGTCTCGGTCTTTGCGTCGGCCCCATCTTCCTCTCCGAGATTGCCCCTCCGAAGAAGAGGGGAACTGTCGGTCTGTACTTCGGGACTATGTTTGATCCTTTGAGCAAGTTTCTGAAATTATCGCAGGTGTACTGACACAGTTCGCAATTGTTGTGGGCATTATGGTGACACAGGGGATGGGCTTACAGTTGGCGAGTGCGCGCCATTGGCGACTTGTGCTGCTATTCTCTGCAGTACTCTCTCTCGCACAGCTCCTTTGCGCTCCCATGATGATCGAGTCCCCAACCTGGTTGAACAGACACGGACAATTGCAGGCCAAGGACACCGCAGCACGAAGGCTCTGGAAATCTGAACAGATGATCAGGAGCGCAGACGGTGAAGCTTCAGTTATGCATATTAAGAGTATGTGCTGACATTGATGCAAATAGTGTCCAACTATGATACGGAAGACCCGTTGTTGAGTACTCAGAATGATGATGAGGATATCGAGCACCAACTTCCCAAAGATCCCGAAGAGCATGAAGCCGCAATTTCTGTACCCCGACTCCTGATTGCGCCGGAGCTCCGTCGACCTCTCGCTATTGTCTGCTTTTCGATGTTATGCCAGCAGCTGTCGGGTAAGGGTTGTCTCCTTGTTCTTCTCATCAGTTCATTTGTCGCTCACTTGTCACTTCAGGGATCAATGCAGGTGTGTATCTGGCTTTGAAACATAAGCAAACTTGAGCTCATAGTTGTCTATGCAGTTCTATATTACAGCAACGACATCCTTTCCAAAGCTTTGCCAGACCTTGGACCTTACATCTCGCTGGGCATCACCGTAGTCAACGTCATCGCCACAGCTGCGCCGGTTCTCCTCATCGATGTGCGTGTGCCGCTGCATGCCTTTCCACCACAGTCTAATTAGCATTGCAGCGATACGGCCGTAGACAACTCCTCTCTCTCTCAGCCGGAGGTGCCTTTCTCTCTCTACTTGGCGTGGGCATTGGCCTCGACTCTAGCTTGATTACGCTGGCCAGTGTCGCTATACTGACCTTCGTGGCGTAAGTTGACTGTGTATTGAGAAAAGCGCACACACACTTACCTTCACTCTCTATGTAGATCCTTCGCGATAGGCATCGGTCCAGTGCCATTTGTAATGATCCCGGAGGTCTCCCCACACCATGTGAGTGTTCTGATGTGTGAGCACGACTTGTGCTGATTGTAAGCACAGGCTGTATCCGCGTTGTCGTCGGTTGGTCTGTCGACGAACTGTAAGTGACAGATACTTCCATTCTTTGACTTGTCTCTCAACCAATCCGCAGGGATTGCCAATTTCTTGGTTGGCTTGGTATTCCTGCCTCTCCGAAACCTTCTCGCTCAAGGTGATCCGTCGAAGGAAGGCAGAGTGTTCTACGTCTTTGCGGCGATGCTCTTCTGCTCCACATTCGTGCTGTTCAGGGTTTACAGAGGGTAGGTTGGATTTTCTCGTTCGTTTTGCCTCGGGGGACAATCATTGTATTCTTGCGCGTCGTACTCTACATACAGTCGTTGTAAACATTAGAACGCATTATTTATCCACGCACTGAGACCTCGTTTTGTTCTATGGCCCGACGTTACGTGAGCCGGCTTCGGTGACTTCATCTCAGCGCGCCGGCGCGGAACGACGTGCATCACGTAAGCAAGCACTGCACAGTCACGAATACTCTTGCTGATTGCTGACCGTCACTACCGATCCTCTCCATGCCTCTCTTCAGACGGAACAAGAAGCATAACGACGAAGGCGGGGATGCAGCGCCAAAGAAGGAGAAGGGCAGCTGGAGGCGGCCTGCGAGTGAGTGCCCTGGTTATGTGGCTTTCCAGCGGCTTGCTCACCATGTGCAGATACGGCCTTCAAGCAGCAGCGGCTGAAAGCGTGGCAGCCCATCTTGACACCAAAGACGGTTCTACCAACACTCTTCATCATCGGCATCGTATTCGCACCGATCGGGGGTCTGCTTGTATGGGGAAGCGGTCTGGTGCGCCTATGTGCCCCTGCACCTCTCGTAGAAGGCAGCTGATGATTTCTTCATCACAGGTCAGCGAGATGACATTCGACTACACACAATGCGAGAAGCAGACTCCGTCATCCTCGCTCTCGCAGCTGAACTTTGTGAATCTGCCAAAGTACAGCTACAGGTTACGTTCGTCAGAGTCGAAGGCCCCGGTCACACCACCGCAATTCGCATTTCTCGACCAGTCGAATAACACATCCATCGATGTGTCGGCGCAACGGCAGTGCATCATCCAGTTCGACGTCCCCATCAACCTGGAGCCTACCGTGCTCTTGTACTACAAGCTCACGAACTTCTACCAGAACCACCGACGTTATGTGAACAGCTTGGACCAGAAGCAGCTAAAGGGCTCATATGTTGCCCCTCACAGCCTGAATAGTGGAGAATGTAGCCCACTGGCTACTGTAAGCGGGGGCAAGATCATCTACCCATGCGGTCTGATTGCCAACTCCCTGTTCAACGGTATGTTGTTTTGGTCTCGATTTACATGGGTATATTAATATTTCCTCTCCCAGATAGCTACTCTGGTTTGACTTCGACTACAGACTCGTCCTCGACATACAACTTCTCATCGACGGGCATTGCTTGGCCAGGAGAAGAAAATAAGTATGCCGCCAGTCCCGGCTATCCCATTTCCACTCTCGTGCCGCCTCCGAACTGGTCCGCCCGCTTTCCCTCTGGATACTCGAACTCGACTCCCCCACCGAACCTCAAGACTGACCAGCGCTTTCAAAACTGGATGCGCACTGCGGGCCTCCCGACGTTCACGAAGCTGTTCGGGCGTAACGACAACACTACACTGCAGAAGGGGCGGTATCAAATCACCGTCAACCTGAGTGCGCATTTATCTCGCCTCTACAATCTAACGTGGATCTGGGTGTTGACGCGGCTTTGTCAGACTATCCCGTTCTGCCGTACTCGGGCACGAAGTCCATCGTGATCTCGACCGTGTCTTGGATTGGCGGGAAGAATCCCTTCCTTGGGTGGGCGTACGTCGCTTCGGCTGCGTTACTGATCTTCCTTGCGGTCCTGGGCACTATTCGACACATGGTCAAGCCAAGGTGCGTTTGTCTCTACAGTAGCATGGCATGGCGTGTTCTCACGAGCGTCCTCGCAGAAAATTGGGCGACATGTCGCTGCTGTCGTGGAACCGCTCATGAGTCTGTTTCCTTATCTATCTTGGACTTACTGTATGATTCCAATGTGCGAGAATCTCGGCGTTACGCGTGTTACTAATGCGCAACTGTGTGCTGTACCACCCTGCCTTGTTAGACTAAAGTCCATAGGTAGCCACGACATCACGAATTGCCCCGACGGGTGGATATGATATTTTTTAAATATTTCATTGGCTATGTTCACCGCAGGATCGATCTGCTAAAACTAACCACAGGCTAGGCAATGTAATTATTCAGGCATTGATACTGCAGATTATTTGAAGATAGATAGATCCTGTAGCTACAGGCCTCCACGACTAAGGACAATTCGACCTGCCGCGCAGACAACCCAAGCTTCATGGATTATTTTGCGAGCAGCGCCAGCCTGTGTTGGTCAAGCGCCTTTGCGCGCTCCCAAACGTCTACAGTGAGTTCTGTTTCGTGCATCGACAACGCGTACAGCCTTCATATATCGTAGTGAGCACTTCGCAGCACATAATGGAGGGGACAGCGCGCACTTTGCGACCGTCATACGCCGGATCAGGTCGTCCGACGTGACCGCAGTGTCTCGCTTGCGTTCACGCACGAAGTCGCTTTGGATGTACTGCGGCTCGGATCAGTCTTTAGCCTACTCGCTACAAAGGAGAGCGGGTGGGTGTGCGCACCTCAGACGTCTCCTCGCTGACGGCGACCCGCCCGGTACGCGCGCCGAGTATGAGAGCGCGGAACGCGGCGAGCTGCGCGGGCGGCGGGCGGATGATGCTCGATGCGGGCTTGTACAGCACTGATGTCGCCGCGGGTGTGTGTGGCGCGTTCAGGGGGACGCACAGGTCCGTCTGCAGGTGCTCGTATTAGCGTCGGTGCCTGAGTCGAGGGTTGAAGAGGTGGGAGGAGCCTGACCTTGAAGAACGCGCTTTTTGAGCCCTCGCCGAGTACGATGCAGCTGATATCGGTCGGGAATGAGAATTGGGAGAAGGGGAACGCGTATACGAGCGTTTGAGTGGACATGACTTCCTGCAGAGCGCGCACGTTCAGCAAACCTGTGCGGGTCGCAGTGACAACGGGTCAATTGGACGTAAGACGGAAAGCCAGTGAAAGGGGGCCTACCCCGCTCGACAAGCTGCCCCTCCCGCACGCCGCCCTCCGTGACGAGGAGGACCGTCCCCTGAGGGAGCTGCAGTGCGCCCGCGTGCAGGTCCTCGTGCTTGCTCTCCGGTGCGAACGCGCCAGCGTTGAGCGCCGGCAGAGAGAGCGCGAGGGTGTGTGTCAATGGGAGAAGCAGAGCTAACACGATAGAGAGGGTTGGGTTGGGGAGCACCCCCTCGTCTGCGTCACCGGTGGACGGCGAGGGCGAGGGCGAGGGCGGGGGCGCGGGGAAGTGCGCGAGCGTGAGCGATGGCGGGAGGAGCGGGGGGCTGCGCGATTGTCTGGGACGCGTTCCTTTGATTGTGAGTGCATGGAGTAGGGGGAAAGGAGGGGACGGGACCTACACCCGCGCGACGCAGGAGAGGAGGACCCACTCGGCGGCTTGTGCGTCACCGCCGAGGGCCTCGTCTGCTATCCACTTGACGAGCGCCGTCCTGATCCGCGTAGGGTTCGTATTTTCGGCAGTTTCACTTCTGGCCGTATCAGCAGTACTTTCGGGGGTGTTTAAGTACGGGTAGGGGCGAGAGAGCAACGGTTGTGAATGTGGGCGCGAGAAGAGGACGTGTAGTGTGGGAACCTCTGAGGATGCCGCGTCTAGGTCTGAGCTGAGACTGGGGGAAGGGTCGGTCAATTAGAGACAAAAATGTACTACAGAGGGACGGAATTACGGTTCAGTAGTGAGGATGCCCACGAAGGTGACGACGTCGGTGGACTTGAGGGTCTCCGCGCCGTCGGTGTCGTATGTCTGTGGGCACCAAGTTGAACATGATAAGAGCGCTGCTTCGAACATCAGACGCACCTTGACTTGCAGCCCGATGTGTGGTACCGAGGGATGTGGGTACTTGTACGCGTGCTGAGACTGGTACGAGGACGTGGACGCAGGCCGCGGCGGGCGTTCTTGGTCTGCGTCACGTCAGAACAACGTCGTAGTCACATACAAGTAATCGCGCACGAGATTCAGGTCCATTAAGCTCCTCTGCGCACCACTCCGTCTCCCCGGGCACGCTGACTGCCCAGAGGACGGAGCACTCCCTGAGATGTGCGTAGTCGACGCCCTGGGCGCCGTCAGGATCGCCGGTATCGATGCCCCAGCCGCCGCACTTGCCTGCGGGGGACGTGGCGAGATACATTTCAGATGAGGGGGACGTGTCCTGGACCATGGCACGGAAGCGGACAAGGGCGCGGTCCGGAAACGCGTCGGGTGGGTGCTGCACGTCGAGAGTGGGGATCTACGCGGCAGCGTTGTCAAAACATAACGTTTTAGAGCTGTCATGGAATGTAGATACCTCGTGGTACGCGTCTTGGCTGCAGAAGACGTGGGCGAAGTGGTCGGAGACGAGACGGGGGAAGTTGTCGGCGGTGGAGGCGGAGTCATCGTAGAGCTCGATGAGCGCCGCAGTGGGATCGCGCAGAGAGTCGACACGAAACGCAGAGACCATCGCGGACGTTGTTGAGGAGCTCGTCGATGTCCGGGTCAAACGCGATCACGGCGCGCCACAGACGCGCGTCAAGCAACGCGCGGCACGCGACTTCAACGAGAGAGACAAAATAATTGATCGAGAAGTACTGCTACGACATAAAATCTATCACGGTATTGCAGACGAGGGTGAAGGTGGAGGATGGTTGGACGGTTGCTGAAAGTCGTCCGAGGTGTACCCTATCCCATCGCAGCGAATGATAACCCCGCGAGGTTCTTCTTCTATCTCAAACTTGGCTTCGGTCAAATGCTCTGCTATCCATATGGCAGTCCTGAAAAAGTCTCCGTGATCAATAATCCCTCACTAGCGTTCCAGCAATAGAACCACTCACCTCGTATGCAGCGTTAATGGTCCTGTCCTCACCGTTGACCTCCCTCGAGCAAGAGCAAGGAAAATTATCATCTGATCCTGGAAATCTCAACGTGAGTATTTTTGACGAATGCAACGGGCAGTAAGCACACACCTGCATATGCTCGTCCACACATCCACCATGCTCCAAATTCCTCACCAGCTCCTCCGCAGCTTCTCTCCCAACGGTCGCAGGATCCCTTCTCTTCTGGCCCACTGCACTCCCACCGAGGACACATCCACCGCTCGTCTCCGCCCACAGTACGATCCCCGACCCGCTCCCGACTGATTCTGACCTTTTCTCTCTTACGCTGGAGATGTCGATGACCCCAGGGTCCACACCGGAGCTCACCAGGGTTTGCACCGCCGCATCGCGCATCGCCTCCGCGACTCGCTCAGGCAGGCCCGCGACGTACGCCCTGCCCGCGACGGTGGAAAGGCTCCCACGCTCGATGAGCTCCACAGGCGGGAGCGGGCCACGCACGGGGGGCACGGAGAGGTACACTTCACCGCCGCCCTTGGGGTAGAACCCGCGCGTGCGGACGCGCAGCTGTGGCTGCAGACCGAAGTGGCGCTGAAGGAAAGGCAGGAAGACGCGCATCGTGTAGTCGAGCTGCGGGGCCTGCAGCGCGTTTGTGCCCCCGCGCAAAGTCAGCTCTGTCGGACCTGAAGAGGGCGTGTGGGAGAAGAGCAGGCAAGGGAGCGCGATTTGAAGGAGGAGCGCGATCGACCCTGCAGTTTTCGTGTCGGCGGTGTAGTGTCGGAACAGTTGGATAGGCCCTGGACGGAAGGATATCGCATCAGATCCCACTGTGCAGCCCGAAAGGTCTGCGGAACATATGTCTGCGACGAGACGGAGACCTGGGAGTAAGAGAAGAGACAGAGAAATGCATGACACTTGGAGATACGCACCTGTCGCATGCTGATGTTTGAGACCTGGAGAGCCGCGGTTCTGTCGTATTTTGTCGATGGATATGGGCCGAGCGAGCAGAGCGGCGAGCGCGACGGCATTGCGCAGGAGTTGACCCCCGCCTTCGAGAACGCGGCCGTCGATGAGCGTGGTCGCCATGGTGCTGCTCACGGTCTGAGCGGCGCCCACTTCACCTTCACCCTGATACTGACAGCTGGGTGGCATAGGCCATTCTGAAAACGTTGTCGACGGAGTGTTTGTCAACGTTGACGGCGTCGTTGCATGTAGATCATTTGTTCGCGTGTCGATCACGTCTGCTCAACTCAATTTGGACGCACTGTTCCCGTGCTCGCTGTTCTGCACAGCGAGGAGGACCTCCTGCGTAACGGCCTAGACGATCCCAATACCCACGGGCTACATACTACACCAGCGGGTCCAATGTCAGACTCGCAGCGCAAGGAGCTGAACGCCTTCTTCTCGTTCTTCGCGACCTTCGACCTCGCTCGCCCTGTCACCTCCGTCGCTGACCTCTCCGATGGCGCAGCCCTCTTCGAAGTCCTCTCCCTCGTGTACGTGCTTTCCTACGTTCAACTCCTGCTGATGCTTGACGGCGCACTTCAGCGACGACCACTTCCGGCAGCCCACGCGCCCCTCTGCGCAGCTGTCGGACAACTGGGTGCTCCGTTTCTCTGCGCTGAAGCGCCTCTATCGCCTCATGACGCAGTACTTTTCTGAGGTGCTGCACCAGCCCACGACCGCGCTCGACGTGCCCGACCTCCAGGCGCTCGCCAAGGACTACACCATCCCCGCCGCCCTCACGATGTGCCGCCTCACCATCGCCATCGCCGTGCAGTGCGAGCAGAACAAGGATATCATCGAGAAGATACAGCTCCTCTCCGAGGGCGAGCAGCACGCCCTCATGCGCGTCATCGAGCAGGTGCGCTCCCTCCCCACCCCTAAACAGGCCTCCGTCCGGTTGTGATGCTGATGGCCCAGAACTAGGTCATGGCCAAAGTAAAGATCTCGCGCGACGCGGGGCATGGGGAGGGAAACATGACAGAGTGTGTGGATTTTTCTGCCGGGCCGTCAACATGCGAGTGCTGAGCGGTGTCGCAGAGATGACCACTATTACCAGATCCAGTCGGAGCGGAGCCGCATCCTCTCGGAGAAGGAGACCCTCGAGAAGGTGTACCAGACGCTACTCGAGGAGCACCGCACGCTACAGACGAACTTTGACGACGCCACGTCGGAGAAGGAGGACGCGCTCGCGCAGCTGCGCCAGGCGCAGAGGGATGCAGACAGTAAGCCCGTCGACACCAGGGGTGATGCAATGATGAGGGCGGAGATCGACCGTCTACGGAGCGAGCTGTGAGTTTTACTTGAGTTCGAATGTGGTGCCCCCCGGCTTATGTGCGTAGCCAGAAGAGCGAGGACAATCTGGCAATGGCTGAGGCTGAGCTGGACAAGCACACTTCGCTGATCACGGACTTGACACGCAAGGTCGATGAGCTCCAGCTGAAGGCCGATGAAGCTGCACGGTTGAAGGACCAAGTTGACGAGTGAGCGTCTCGTTCTCGACTGCCTTGATGATGTTCATATTTTCTCAAGATATCGTCACGCCGCTGACAAGCTGCAGAAGACAGAGAACGTAATGGAAAAGTACAAGAAAAAGCTTCAAGAAGGGGCAGATCTACGGCAACACGTGAAGGTGCGTGCGGCGTCTTGGGCTCTAGGTGAGCTGTACTGAGTTAAATTATGCAGGCATTGGAGAAGCAGAACGCGGACCTCGTCGATAAAAACGCGTCATTAGAAGAGGAATACCGCAAGGTCGCTGCATTCAAGCCGCTAATGGACTCTTATAAAACTCAGATAGCGGAGCTGGAGACAAAGGCGTCTTCCCGGTCCAAAGAACTGGATAAAGTCAAGTTTGAACTGGAGCAGACCAAAGCGAAGCTGAAGGTCGCGGTTGAAGAGCGCGCGAAAGACTCAGAGACGCTCGAGCTGTACCAAGAACGCGTCCGCGAGCTAGAGTTGAGTGCGCGCCCTGTAGCGTCCGCCTCGTCTCGAGCACGTGACAGAGACGAGTTTACGGAGGCGGAGCTACTTGGACACCGAAAGGCAGGGCACGAAGAGGAGGAGGAGGAGCTTGATGGAGACGTGCAGGGCTTGGGCGAGGAACTGGACTCTGCGCTCACAGGAACAACGATGACGGACCTGAAGCTGCAGGTACGGAAACTGCAACGCGAGCTGGAGGCGGTGCGGAAGAACGAGGCGGATGCGAGCCGGGTGCTCGTCCTGGAGAACCTGCTGGATGACGCAAACCGCATGAAGGCGCGATACGAGGCAGATTATCTTGCTGCACATCGTGAGAAGCTGGTGCTTCAGAATGATCTGGAGGAAATCAGGAGCGGGAAGGCGATGGGCGATGGGTACGTGCAGTGCCATCGTCTTCATGGCGCCTGTTTCTGACAAGTCTCGTCTGCAGGGCCGAGGCTGCAATTGCGCTGCGCCAGCGGCTCAATGAGACCGTTGACCAGCTCGACGCCCTACACAAAGAGCATACCGAGCTGGAGGTCAAGTTCGACAGTCAAGTCAAAGAGCTGACGATCGCAAGATCTGACCGTGAGCATAACCTCGGTTTCGTGCAATTCGCGCACTCATCTGCTTCCCAGTGAACCTCGTCAACAAGGATCAACTCGAAATTCTAGCCAACTTACGCGAATCCGTGAACGAAGACAAGGCGGGCCTTCAAACAGAAGTGGAACGCCTCTTGTCACAGGTTAAGGAGCTCTCAGACAAGAACAAGATGCAGCTGGAGCAGATCAATGGACTGTTGCTTGAGAAGGTCGGCTTGCAGAGTGAGGGTATCGACCAGCGGGACAGAATGCTACAACGAGAACGTGCAATCGGGTATGTGTTCATTCTGGTTATCAGAAACCTCGGTGCTCTTGAGTGCTAAATGCTTCCAGTGATCTGAAAGCATCGATATCTGGCAAAGATGTGCCCGAAGATATTAAAGCTCGTCTTCTCAGTCTGCATGAAGAGAATGTTTCTCTGAAAGAACAGTACAAGACTGCGCAAGAGAAGTTGGTGAAAGCAAAGGCTGTGAGTAATCGAACTGTTCGACTATAGCTTTAGTCATCGTTAAACGTCTGTACAGTTCATTAAGCAACAAGATAAGCTTTTCAAGGAGGAACAAGCGAAGAAAGACGGAATGGCATCCCCAGTCAGTATTTTCGCGCTGTTTCTCATAACATGTTAACTGGGTTATTTTACCAGGCGGCCTTTGAGGAGGCAGAGGGGAGCTACCGTTCTCAAGTCAAGATACTGGAAGAGGATCTTGCTCGGCAGAAGGTTCGTCTTCATTCGTTACTCCTCGTTCTCCTGTTGACATTCGTACAGCGTCTGATGTCGGATATGATCACGCGATATCGTCGAGAGCAAGCACTTATGCTTGGCTACGTCCACAATATTGGCATGAAGACAGCACGAGATCATCTGGGTAACCAGCAGCAAAATCGGCCAAATCCTACAAGCTGGCTGCCGCAACAGCGGAGAAACGTGAGCGTTCTTACCTATACAGATTGACTCTGCATGTTCTGACATTGGTCGCTATTCAGCTTGGCCAGCTCCTTCGTCGATGACGTTTTCTTGCTTTTGACTTATATTTCCCTTGGCATATTTACTACATTATCAGCGGAACCTACACACAATCTTTCATACCCTCTACGCGTTCACTGCATATGCATATATCACTGTTACAACTTGATTACTGTAGCATGTAAGTTGGACGCCGTCTGTCGGCCGTGCTCCATGACACCCACGCGCCCGAATTCTCGACGCCTTGTATGTTGCAGATAGCTGTAATGTCCTGGGCATCTAGGCCGGCACAGGCCCAACCTGCCTTCAGTTCCGCTTCATTGTTACTGTGTACAGGCGATAGAATACTAGGATACATTCGTGTACGTTCCTTCATTACTGGAGTTACGATCGCACATTTACAGGAAATGGTGAGCAGAGATGACTTTATGAATGAACAAGGCCGTTTTTCCCCGCCTCCATCCATTCACCAGCTAACTCAGCAACGACCTTCGGCAGAAGCTTGTTCACCTCTTCTGCACTCTTGCCGCTGCCTTCCAAGTAGTACTTGATCTAAACACTATTTTCAGTTATTGCGTTCCCGGCATAGATTGAATCCTCACCTTCGGTTCTGTACCACTTGTTCTATTGAATCGCAGCGTTCGGCGAGAGGTATGAGATGAGCTACGAGAGAAACATACCTTGTCGTCAAAGTGATTCTTGTTTGATCCGCCTGTGACTCAGCTCTGAATTGGATCATGTGTCCCGACGATAGAGGAAGAACGGGCTTAAAAGTCGGCGGATTGGCGCTATCGTAGCCGAGTGTGAGATCTCGTACACCTGTTACTGTTAGACTTGCGATGCTGGTGGGGTAACTTGGGTTTTCCGGGGTACCCTGTGGACAAAAATCCGTATGCCGATGTAGGTGTATCATTGACGCAACTTACTGCCCCGTCATAATTCCGCACTCTGGTGAAGATCTTGTCGATAATGCGGGGATCGTGGCAGATGAAGTATCCATTATTCGTCTGGTGAGATACAATTAGATATACGTGCCACATTCTCATACCTTGCATGCAAGTCAAACCTGGAAATAACCATATCTGAGGAAGTCAGTCGCAGGTTCTCCATTCGAGGATCACCCTTCCTACCGCTCGTAAAGTTCCTGCAGGTGCGAGAAAGCCGTCTTGCCTTGGTTATGCAGACAGACCGCCATCTCGGCAAACATCACCTAGGAGCTCATGGTTAGCTCATGGAGCTTTCAGCACCACTTAAAGTACGCCTTACACTAGCAGCGACTCCATCCTTGTCCCGGATCTCAGAACCGAACATATACCCAATCGCCTCTTCATACCCGAAGGGAACGTCGTAGCCTTCTTGAGCCAAATTCAGCGCGGTATTACCAATATACTTGAAACCTGATGACATGAAGGATCATCTGGAGAGCGCACACCCATCAGAAGAAAGCGCAACCTGTGAGACATTCGGCAAACTTGAAGCCCTCCACGGCCGCCATAGCCTCAATCATCTTGGAGCTGACGGTGCTCGCCACGATGGCCAGTTTATCTATTCAGTAGAGATGAGTATGGTCTACTCCACGTACATTGCAAAGAGGTATGAACTCAGCGGCTTCCCCGAGGATCTGTACCGATCCAGAACTACGCTTGCAAACAAGGTGCCCAATTGATCTCCAGTGAACGTAACGGCACTTCCATCGGAGCTACCACGTCATGATAACGTGTTCCGTGAGATAGCGGAGTTTTTTTGTCGATGAATAACTCACCGTATTTCTACGCCAGCAAAGCGATCCGAGTCTGGATCCTGCGCAAGGATGTAGTTGGCACCGCATTCCTTCGCTGTGACGAGAGCTAAATCCTGAAGCGATCCATAAGACATATGTCCTCGAAAGCAAGCGATAAGACTTACAAGGGCACCTGCAAAAGGAGGCTGATTTATTAGAATCAGCGGGTCAAGGTAGATCATCGACACTGTACCCTTCTCTTCAGGATTTGGAAATTTCACCGTCGGAAATTCTGGATCAGGATCTTGCTGTTCTTGAACTGGAGTAAAAGAGGGGAGACCGAACAATTCAAACGCCCTCGCCATAAATGCGTTGCTCACGCCGTGCATGGACGTATTGACAAATTTCAGTGGAGTACTCATGTTCAGCGGCCTTCCGATTGAAAAAGGTGATTCAGAATCTACCTTAGTCATTCATGGGCAAGACGCACCGGTGCAGGCACAGCGACAAGATACTGGTGAAGTAAGCTTCCCGCATATCCTCTGTGCGATCGAGGCACAGCGGAGATGAATGCAGGTTGACCATCCCCCATACCTTGGGTTCTAAATTGCATTTAATCGAATCAGAGATGCCCTTATCGTGGGGCTCGATAATCTCGTGGAGAGCAAAATTTTCAATATGCGAATTGTCAAGAATGCAATAACACCCATACCTGCACGGCATTTTCCCAATAAACCTGATTTGAACATGTTGAGTAATGCGTGCACGGTGAGTATTTCCAAAGCAGCATGAGTAATAGTACTTCACTTTGTAACCATTGTCTTGCTAAGACGAGAATAATAATCATTTATCGCAATCTCTCACAGATCTGGGACGAACCTTCGGATTGTGACTAGCTGCAGAGCCTCAATGTTACTGTTTGACTAAAAATCGAGCTGAACTCACCTGTGATCATTACACCACACGCTGCATGCAGTTTCTTCACGCTGAACGGTACCCTGAGAACTAAAGTTAGCAGACGACGAGTCATTACAGTATGAAAACTTACAGAGGTGTATGTACAAAGCCTTGATGCAAGTAGACCTTGACATTCCTTGCTATGAACACAGCGGCCGTTAACTCGGCCCAATTCTCAGAGTTATGCCTGTGGTCATGGCCGATAACAACTCCTCTGGATGAGGCATCGTGCACATTCTGCAGCACGTATTCACATAATCCCTATTGTACACACAGGGTGGTCAATCTCACGTATTGTTCGCGTGTAGCTAGATACCGTATGATATACCTGTGACGCCTGGATGATGATGAGGTCGTTCATGCGAGACCATCCGGCCTCCATTCTGCCTCTTAGACCTGCGCCCATTCAGTAGCGTATCATGGGCAGAATGACGTGATGACGTGCCTGCAGTACCGAATTCAATCCGCGTCCTAAGCCAGTCCACGTTTCAGGCAATCCCATTCATCACGCTTACTTACAACGTTACTTGCCTCATACGCTTCTCCAGCTCCTGAAGATTTGCTTCTGAATAGAGGCTCTGTATCTCATTGCGCGTCACTTCATTCTGAGAGTATATAAATCAGCGAATGAGCCAGCGTGGAGATAGGTAGCCGGCCATACTCTGTCCAAACGCAACCACTCATTGACAAGATGTGTTAGAGATGACATAGTTGTTTTCTGGAGAGGTGGCGTTAGTCCTCGTTGGCTGATTGACAGACGAACACGATAACAGTGGTGGATGGGCAGTCAGAAGTTCATTATTCGTAGTGACTTGCTAATCTGAGCGGTGGAAGAAGTCGATCGCGATGAATCTGAGATCCGCTTGATCATAGCAAGGCGAAACTTCGTGGTGGGCTCGTAGGAGAATTCGAGACTAAGTTGGTTCGGTCATGCATGCCCCAGCAACGCAACACATATCAATTTCAGCAAGTCTATTCAACACACGACACAGTCCTCCTTGAAACTGAGATTATACATTGCTTTATCGACTGTCTTCTCAATTTTCTTCCAGTCCGCCCGTCGTTGAATGAACTCGTAGACGTCCTGTCCAATGTAATCAGTGTACCGAGTCAACCGAAACGAAAACCAGTAGAAATCTACCTCTGGCTTGTATGCACCGCCATAACGTGTCACGTCTCGCACAATCTGTGCAAGATCTTTGGCGTCGTCAACCACATAGACATGGCCCAACATTTTGAGATACGAGAACTCAGCCACCATACTTGGCACCTGGAGTTGTACCATGAGGAGCCAAATGACACAGTAGAATCAGCACTACACTACCTTGAGCGACGAGACGAACGTGTAGTAAGCATTGAGGTCAGAGATCACTTGGAAGCCGCCGTTCAGAGAGATGATCTGTCGCTTGATATGCTTCTGCAGAATACTAGAGACGTGGACGATGACCCAAAACATTACATCGGAGGAATATTTCAGAGATAGCGCGTAAACAAGAACTCACGCAATTAAACGAATCCCTATCTCCTGGTAGAAAACCTCAAGTACCTCCTTGTTAGTGCTTCCTTTCAGCAACTGACAATGCGTCTGCAAGCATTGGATAGCCTCTGTACATCCCCGAGTAGGACCGAGCTCGAGTGGGGCATCTTCCGCAGGGTAATATTCCCGAGGTTTTGTCAGTGTCAGGATGATGTACTCGACCTGGGAGACAGTGAACACGTTTCATGAGCATGATGAGTCTTAATAATTACGATCGACGCACCTGGTTCATTAACGCATCGGTACCAGCGTTTAAGCCGGCAGCGACGCAATCGTCTAGGACGTCCTCGAAACGTTTCTTCTCTCGAACCACAGGATTCAAGAAATCCGTCCGGTCTATGTGAGGAGACTGTGCAAGAGCATGAAGTCAGATAAGCAGGGAATGAGGCGATGTATCCCACCAATTCTTTGTCGAAGTAAACTTGCACCATCGACTGCATAGTGTCGCCGATATGGACGAGCTCGAAGAACTGCAACAGAGGCGCAACATTACGGGTATCCGTGGTGGGTTGATATGTCTTCATCTGCTCTGTTGCTCTAGTAGTGATACGTCGGGATTGTCGCCTGCAGTGATCTCGCAGAAAAAACATACCTGTCAAATCCAGGACGGATGTGCCTCTCGCCCAACGCCTGGAGCAATAAAACGAAGAGTTCCTCTATCGTATCCCGCACGCGATGTCCGAACTGTCCGGGATAACCGGAAAATGTCTCTGCACGCTTCAGGGATTCTCTGTTGGCGTGAATGAGCTCCAGCGCAATGTCTAAAGAAAGGAGAAGATCAAGTTGGTCGAAAGCAGCCGCACTGTTGCTCGTGCTAGGTGTCCCGGCCCGGGTGGATGGCGCAGAGGTGGGCGCCGTGCTGGGAATGTCGACAGTCGTGGAAGAGGAAATTGACGCTGCAGGAGAATCAGCCTTTTTCCCCGAGTCAGATTTATATGTGGGCATACTCACATCGTGTCGTCCTCTCGCTATCCTTGTCTTTCTTTTCGACCTTTTCATTCGGCACTTCCTCCTCCTCGTCAGCGACGTCGAATAATGTGCCATCGCCGGTTCTCGCAAAATCCGTCGCATAACCGTTCCTCTCGTTCACACCCCACGACCCAAGTCTACCGAATGCCCCCGGACCTCCTTGGCCAAGACCGCCCACTCCCACTCCCGTCCCCCAGCGCTGAGGGTTAAGCATAGCGATACCCTGTACTGCTGCGCTGCTCCCTGAAGTAAATGCGGCACCGACGGCTTTGCCTACGGTACGGGGCACAATGGTTACTGGACGAAGTAGAACATCCGTAAATGAAGCGAGCACCGTGCGCTTGACCTGTGCAGGGTTGTGTGACCCCAGAAAGCGGGCATGGTCTGGGGTAGTCGCCGTTACTGGTGCTTGTTTGGATAGCTGGTTGGGCATATGATGTCAAGATAACTAAAACTGTGAGAACAGAAACTAACCTGCTCATCCCACTGTCGACAAGTCATCTCGAAACATTGCTTGACAAGCTCGATCTCTTCGTCGAGGTACTCGTCCATGTTGGCTTCGAACATATGATAGCTAGCTGAAAGTGAGGGAGCGAAGAGCAGCTACCAAATTGATCACTTACACCACATCTTCCGCCATTGTAACGGTGACCATGGAATAACTCCTTTCCTTCGCGACTTGCACGATGACATCCACCATGCGCCATGCCTCTTTGAAACTCGCGGCCGTGGCTTTCAGGAAGGTCTCGTTGGAGAGTTCACGAGCGCGTTCCAGAAGAGCGTGGATATATTCACCTACCTTACCACGGCGCGATAGAAGTAAAAAGGTATTCATTAGAGGATGCACCGTTTTGGCAGAAAGTCGGGAGATCACGTACGACTTCGTCGGCAAGGCGCTCTGAGAATGAGATGAGAACGTTAGTCGCAGGGGGAAACACTCGCACTGCCCGCGAGCCGTGTTCCTCGAGCGCCGCCAAGACCTCCGTCATGAAAGAATCCATCGCATCGAAGTTCAGCTGGCCATCGTTTCTGTACACGCGTTGAACACAATGGGCTTCATGAAAGACGAAAACACGCACGTAAAGTTATCCAGCGGCTTCCACTTACTCTGCTCGTAAAATATCTCCCGCTTCTCGGCCCACACTCTTCCCAATTCCCATTCGTCGCCGGAGCCGTCCCACACCTCCCAGCTTGCCTCTGCAGCTTGCCTCATGCCAGTTTCGTCATCTTTGCCGTCCGCGACGTCGAACGCGCTGAGCAGGCCATCCTCAAACCGGTCTATGGAGGCTCTGAGTGCACCTCTGAGGGTACCCCAACCACGCAAAGGTTTAACGCGCGGAGAAAGAAAGAGGGAAAGAAGGCGCAGTGTATGGGCCTGACGATGAAGTGATGGGGCAGGTGCGGGGAAGAGGGCTGACAGAACAGCATGGGGTGGAGAAGAAAGAGCGGGAACCAGAGGCTTGAGGAGGGTATGGGCACGAACATACCGTGAGCGAAAGGTCGGTTTCGGTGGAGTAATGATGTAGCTAGCTGACCGGGGACTACTCGAGGTGGCTGCACTCAATGCACCGACGAAGTCGCCCATTTCGTCTGCCTGTGCACTAACTGCAGCAAAGTCACCGAATTCGTCATCCGGAACATCCACGGGGAGAGTGGGCGGAGCCTGTCCTCTTGTCACCGCATTCTTGGCTTTCGCGTGCTCCTCGAGGTCATCGAGAACATCACTGAGCTTATGTTTGTCGACGCCAAAAGCATTCCAGCGTACTTCCCATACACGCTCGTCCTTGGCAAGGTTTGCAAGTGCACGAGAAGAACGGGAGTAAGAAGGGAGGTCGGGGACGGAGATATGATAAAGTATAAGGATGTGAAGGTCGACAGGGAGACGTCCTATGAACTCGAAGTTTGCGGGACCCTTAACAGGTGTCGTGGGAAAGCTGGCGAAAGGATGAGAAGCCTTGGAGAGAAGGCGACTGGCGGTGGTAGAAGGAGAGGCATAGAGTCGGACAGGCTCGAGAGCAGCGATCTTGTCCATCGTCAGCGTAGTTCTGTGTCTTCGGGCACGTCAAATTTATGGTCCTGCGTCAATTCTGAAACTCAAGGATAGGACGCTTGAGCATACGGTCAGGGTGAAGAGGAAGTCAGATTGCTCGCACAGACTACGGCTGGGCGGCGGCAGAGGCACTACCGTCGTACGCGCCCAGGAGAATAGCCGAGTATGGTGACCTATGTAGCGCTCGCGGGAAAGAGCCTGGCGAACCAGTAATTCTAGGCCACCGCGGCTACCTGCGTGAATGAAACTCAAAAATCTTGTCAACGATCTGCTCTAAATGCCAGATCCAAGTTGTGAGCTGTCCTGAGAGCCCCACAGAAGGCACGCACTCTCCACCCGGGCGTTGCCCGGGCGTGTAACGGGGTTCGCGCGCCCTGGGCCTGAGTCACAAAGTTTCCCTCTTTGGAATTAATTAGGTCACGCCAAAGCGTGGGAGTGGTCAATCAGCGGACGTGACCTATACATGTCTACGCCGGAGCGGCACTGGTAAGTACTATGAGCGGATGGGCTTCAGGATAGCCGCAGAAAATCTCAGTGGCGTCCGCCGCATCAGTCACTTGCAGGTTCGGAGGCACGATGTAGCTCTGATTTCAGCGCTCCAAGAGAACTTACATGCCGTATTCTGTGGCTTTGTAATTTAGGCAGAGTTACCGGGTGGGTGTTGTATGCCTATGTTCTTTTCGAATGTTGCTTATGCCCTTGAAAAATCAGAACAGAGTTATGTATGTCATGCCCACTTCCAAGCAGCGCTTTCAGACGACTTTGATGTAGACATCGTCTCAACGTGAGGTCAGGTGTTGTCTGTGATGTTTTCATATATCTTTCTATTTGCGTCGCCCCGAGACACGTTGTCCTAGCCCGCCAGTCACACGGAAAGCATCTGTGCACCCCGTGCTCGGGCTGTCGGACTCACTGCGTTTGCATAGGCGTAAACCGAAGGAGCATCCCACACCAAGTTCTCTTCTGGTCACAACAGTACTTTCGGGCTGATCGGGTGGGGGTGCCCGAGGTAATCATTTTCGTCCTTCCAATGTCAAGCGTAAGTACTGCACGCCGTAGAAACTTCGCAGCGTGGTAAACGGCACCGGCCATTTCTTCTCTGATGAATATGTGAGGGAGATCGTCCCGGAGATTTGGACACTCTTACAATATGGGCAGGCACAGTATTTAAATCCACCCACCACAGCGCTATGGGTTACCACCCAGGATTGTCATGCTGTTCATGGCGAGCACTTCAGTCGGTTTGGCCCACGGGCTTCTGTTATGTGCCTTTACTTTATTTCTGCACCATTGTTTGCGCCGACGCTTCATGAAGGCACAGCTGAAGAACCTGCCAGGTACCGCGCCACAGTCCTTTTGGACGGGTGAGTCTTCCGTCTCACCAGAGATGTCAAGCGTTGCTATTGATTTTCTGTGCTTCATCGCAGGGAACATGGTCCCTTTTTATCAGCGAGAAGGATGGGACTTTCAGATGGAGGTGGCGCAAAACTACGGACCTGTGGTAAATATTCACGGTTTTCTCTGGGTCAGTGCATCTTTATGAAGCAGAAACGTTGTCCTCACCGTTGGGATTGAACCTAGGAGCCAACTTTATACGTGTATGATCCCAAAGCTCTGCACAGCATCATAATCAAGGATCAGTCCAACTATGAAGAGTCGAGTTTATTTCTGCAGTGTGTCTCCTTCAACGACGTAAGGGATATATTTTAACGGTCTTCCAGAAGCAATCTCTTGACATTCGGCCCTGCGTTGATCTCCACACTGGGTATAACTGATCCTCGACTTCTACTATACGAGTCCCACTGATCCCGGGACCAAGGTAATCCTCATCGCAAGCAGCGCAGATTGCTGGGGGTCAGCTTCTCCACACACCATCTGCGAGAGATGCTCCCGATCTTCTATGAAGTGGCAAGTAGGGTTAGTGGTCTAGTCAGTTCCTACGGTGGATGGAGCTTAATGGGCAGGGTCAGCTGTGCAGTGGAATTGCGTCGCGCGTGGATGATGGTCCGAAGGACATCGACATGCTTGGATGGATGGTGCGCACTTCGCTGGAAACGATCGGATGGATGGTGCGCACTTCGCTGGAAACGATCGGACAGGGAGGATTTGGGTATTCGTTTGATTCCCTGACTGAAGACCAAGCAGGAGAGTTTGGGAATGCTTTGAGGCATTTCGTGTAAGGCGTACTGATTCTGCCATGGCTCATTATTTGCTCACGTCCAGCACTTAACTCAGGCCAACAATGTTCTCCTTGGGCATAATACGATTCGCTATACCGTTCGTCGTGACACGGGGCTCTGCGTCGTTCCGCAGATGGGTATTAGACATGATCCCAAGCAAACGTGTCCAGAATGTCAAGCAAGCGGTGGATGTTATACACAAGAAGTCAGTTGAAGTCTTACGGTCGAAGACGTCCGCTTTGCAAAGTGGAGACGATGCTCTGTTACAGCGGGTAGGGGAAGGAAAGGACCTCATGAGTATCTTACGTATGTTGCTTCGTACTCCTTGACCTTGCCTGCTTATTCGTTACCCAGTCAGGGCAAATATGATTGCAACAGCCGAACATGACAGGCTCTCCGAGGACGAGCTACTAGCTCAGGTGTCGTGAGTGGTAGGCTCTATAGTGGAAACGTGACGGCTTCTACATCGGACTACATGATCACAGATCCCTCAGCTTCGCGGCGACAGACACAACTTCGAATACGCTCGCTCGAATACTACACCTCCTCGCACAACATCCCGATGTACAGCAAAGATTACGTGAAGAAATTTTGGAGTCCCGTAATGGTGGTGTTGTCCTCTCCTATGACGAGCTCATGAAACTCCCTTACTTGGATGCTGTCTGCCGTGAGACGCTGCGGGTGTGCGTAGCGGAGGGTTGTTCTTTTTAAATTCTGAGATGCTACTTTGCAGGCACCCTCCAGCCACTTTCTGGCTCGCGAGTGCGCTGTTTCTTTGTCGAACCAACTGACACTGCTTGCTTATATGACTTGACTAAATGGCCAGGAAGGACACGATTCTTCCTTTATCCCAACCTATCCGCGGTACCGATGGCAAAATGATGGGCAAACTCTTGGTGCCGAAGAACACCAAGATATATATTGGCGTGGCTGGATGCAATATGAACAAGGCACTCTGGGGCGAAGATGCGCTTGAGTGGAAGCCCGAACGCTGGCTCTCCCCACTTCCCAGCGCGGTTAGCGACGCTCACATGCCTGGCGTGTACTCTAATATGTGAGTTGGGTCCCCCGCTAAGAGATGAGGCTTACGGACGACTGACTCCTTGTACCACTGTGTCCTGTGTTCCACAGTATGTCATTCTTGGGCGGCGGAAGGGGATGCATGTGAGTCAATGGACTATCCGGATGACTATAAGATATAAGTCAATGCTTAATGATTGACAGCGGATTCAAGTTCTCCGTGCTGGAGATGAGTGAGTACGAACGTTCTCTTGGTACACTTCGTACACTGACGACATGGCAGAGGTCATCCTGTCAACATTACTGTCGCATTTCAGGTTTGCACTAAACGGGCAGCCCATCGTGTGGAACATGTCAGCAGTCAGATATCCTGCTGTAAGCATCGAGAGCCCCAAAGCAGAGATGCCATTGAAGGTGATGAAGTACACTTAGTAGGCCAGAGGCGCTGCTATGTCCTGCATGTGTCACAGACCAATTAACGTAGCTTTGGAGAGTGTTATCTGTGCGGTTGTGCGGTGCCTCCACAAGTAGAGTTCTGACATCGGTGCATACCAGCGAACACTAAGAATTATGGCCGAGGCCGGGGTGAATGAATACACGTACAGTTGTACAACCAGTGTCATCGACGCCGAGCCTCCTTCATGAAGACTGCACCGCTGTTATAATAATCGTCACAAAGAACTAGCTAGGTATAGGGCAATAATCTTAGGTAGGCAGTGGCTTGGAATGGATAATCAGATTACACTTGCTGTGGCGTCCGCGTCACTGAACCCTCAACGTCGAGCCCATCTCGCTCGAAACGGACGTCCTATTGAGGGACGTCGAAGTGGATGCCTGCCTCCGGTTGGCACGACGTGATCGAGACCTGGCAGGCTTTCGGGTACTAGATTGAGAAGGTGAGGTGCTCCCTGCCCCCTCGTTGATTGCACTAGTGGAAGGGGAGGAGAGAGATGGCAGATTGATGCTAGCAAGACGTGGTAATCGGATTTTGAGAGTTGGGGTTGCATCTGCAGCCTTAACGGCAGATGGTCCAGCGGAAGCGATGGCAGACGTCGGAGCTGCTTTGATGGAAGAAGGGATTGGTCTAGAGTCGGGTAATTTAGATGGAGGAAGAGCCTTTCTGCTATTGTGATGTGCCGACAGTGTCTCTGAATGGGGTGGCTCTGCGACACCGCTAGCATCAAGGCCAACCTCAGCGTCGTTTTGAGCCGTTGTCCCACCATTAGTGATAGGCGCAGGTGAGAGTCTCTTGCGGGGAGGTTGACGGGTCCTCTTCGGCCTCGCGGAGATGGAACTTGAAGATAAGTCCGGTACCACTGGTTCTTGCTTCAAAGTGCTCTTCGGTTGTTCGAAAGAGGAACTAGTGATGGTCGTCAGCGATTCTGTGGATGTTTCCGCGCCACCAGAACGGTCCTTCCTAGGAGCAGCTCTACGACCAGCAACACGTCGCGTGCGAACAGCTGTGGCTGGTGCGAGCTCGGAATCTATGTGAGTATCTTCTTCTGTGGTGCGCACTGGCTCGATAGAGGACTGCGCGTGGTTCGAGTTGTCATCGTGAGATGAACGCGTGCGAGCGCCTGAGTGGTGAGATGTTCTGACAGGCAATACGCGTTTGGAACGTGTCTGGCAACGTACATCTAATAAATAAAACGAAGGCGAGTTGCGATTCCATTCTTACCTTCATACTACCGTTCGCTGGCCTAGCATCGGACTGGGGAGGAACTTCGACGCTAGTCTGGGTACCTATATCGATTCTTTGCGCAGCAGTGCCGTTCGTATGGACATTGTCACTGTGCACCGTTGGCGGCTTCTGATGCGACAGCATGCCGGTCAGTAACTGGCCGGCATTATGAGTTAGGTGATCGCAGGACAAAACTGTGGCTCTCTTACTTGTGCCACCTCAACATCCTCGGTCGTATACATCACAGGTGAAAGGGTGGATGGGAGAATGTCATCATCTTCGCCGAGAGAGCTAAGTGAAGTCAGAGGGGATGACATGCCACTGATATCGTCCAAATTCCTGCAGCGCTCATCGGTCAGTCGTGCTTTGGATTCGGACACTGATCGACTCACTGCTGAGGCAAAGCACTCTTGTTCCCAACTTTGTTCCAAAAGTCCAACATGATGATCCTCTCAGGAACCCTGTATCGCCGACCATTGATCAAGACTTCATCTACTGCGATTTTGTTCGGAAGAGCGGCAACAGTCTCTGGCTGAACTACTTCGATATTGCCATTATTGGGCTGACGAGGTTTTGTGATTTCTATCGGTGTCGCGTTGGCTCTTGGAACACGTCGCTTTGGTTGCTATATGATTCCGCGTTCAATCTGCGCATGCAGATGTAGAAACTGTGCTACACTCACATGATTCTGGTCAGCATGATTGGGGCACATCCACTTCTTGCCCCATGGCGGCATGCAAGCCAAGGGAGGATCCACGCAATCCAAGTGCCAACTGAGATGACAATAGTCACAGGAAACAATGCTCCTGCCACTGTCGCTAGGTTTGGCATTTGACGTTTCCCTCCTTGCACGCTTGGCTGCTGGAGCAGCAGCAGCGACGCCCGGTGAAAGAGCAGAAGTGCCACATCTAAAACACAACACAGGGTCACCATTTCTGTCCTTTAGTCGATAGGGGTCCCGATCCTCAAGCTGACCATGCCGACTACGTGTGTATGAGAAACAGGCCAAATTGTTGAAGCTAGGTACGCACTTCAGACGAAGCTGTCGCACTTCAGAAGTGTCGACATACGTGCCTCTAGGACTTGCACCGACTGCGCTCATGAACGTAATATCAGCACCAAGAACAAAAGCGATCCGATGAGCACCTACCGTCTTTGAAGTGACTCCTAACATCCTGAGGTAGCTGGAACTCGGTAGGGATACTGCTCTCCAAATGTTCGATCAGCGGTGTAATGAATTTCAATGATGCAGGCAACTTGATTGGGGGTTTCTGCCAGACTATCGGTGAGCAGCTGCATAGCCGTAAAGTGAACCAACTACACCTGTTGAGCAACACATCCGGGGCAATACCATCTCGCATCTCCTTCTGGCAAATCGGATGCTTCCATCGGAGGATCCAAACACCAGAGATGAAAGGCTTTCGGACACCCATCGCAATAGACGAGAGATCCCAATGAACGACAAGAAGAACAGTGATCTTGATTGAGCTACACCGAAGTTACGGACGACATCAGAAAAAGCTGTTTTTTTGACTCACCAGTCTATTGGAGGGAACAACTTCGCTCATGGCGAGTGTGACAGCAAACGGTTCCTCCTTCACTTTGACGCCCACATCCTTTTCTCGCCCTTTGCCTTTATCTCTTCGCGGGGCCTGACTCCTGCGAAGGCTGTTGCGAGGCGGGGTGGAGTCGTCGGCATTCAATAGAGAATTTGAGCGAGACAGCATCGCCTCGTCAGAGTCGAGAGGTAGTGATATGGGGTCCGAATCAAGAATGAGGTGTGATGACGACGCCATCGCCTCTTGGATAGGATCAGAGGCGGAGACTGCACCGTTCATACTACGCGCAGACGCACGTTGCGCCCTGCTTGAGGCGGAGCTGCCCGGCCAAGTGAGGTAACGCGCACGTTAAAAGGAACGGCGATTTGTGAATCGACAACCACGGCGGGATTGTGTCAGTCTTTTTCGTCCGGTCGCAGGAGAATCGTGCAGGACTCACCCCTTGTCTAACCTCGCTCGCTTTCTCCTAGAACCGTCGACCTCCGTTGTCGTGGTCAACGGGGCCGCCATGTGTCCTGTATAGGTAGTGCCTGGATCCGATACAGGCAAGTAGGAGAGGACTGTCACAGCTTTTTTGTGATCTCTCCTCGGAAGACCAGTCTGTTGAATAGAGACTAAAGGAGGAGGCCCGGGCAGAATTTCTGTAGCCAAGCTCGGATCGCCCTCTAGGTTGGGCGGTTGGGCGACAGGAACTCCCGGTAGCAAGTACACCGGGACGCCTTCCACAGAGGTCATGACCGTCAGTGAGAAAGCTGCTGAATGAGGCCGCCAGAGCTCAATCCGTGCTACGCTCACGGATGAACGACCTCAACGCGATGATGGTGGTAAGGACGTAACTACATTCGGCTCGAGGCGTCGCAATTAATATGTACATGCTTTGGCAACCCCTCTCCAACCACCAACCTCAGAGCAGACAATAAACATCCTTCATTCAACAGCCAACGAGGACAAAGGTTTTAAACCCGGGATAAGATATTATGAACAGGTTCTGGAAATTTTCAATGAGACCGAATTTCTTGAATTCATATCAGATGGATGAACTCACCTCTGCTTGATTGGCATCGGAAGTAACGGTCCAATGAAGTTGATGAAACCGAATATCATATCTCGCGGACGATGCGACTCGGTCAACAACAGTGACGGGAGACCTTCACAACCACCCAGAGTGGCTAGAAGCACTCACACATCCAAGCGTCGTCATAAGGGAAGTGAAGGTTCGGCGTCCGTGACGTTCCAGATTAGAGCCTATTCCACAAGATAAACTACAGTTCAAGCAGGAGTACGTAGACCATAGGAACAAATCAGAAATGAAGAGAATATCAAGCTTTCACAACAGATAGTCAAAAAACCGGCTGGTCTTAGCCCCGGGCTGTAAGTTTCAACGTAGAGACATTGCTCGTAAACATACTTGTAAGTGCTGAGCTATTGCATAAAATTCTCCGCTATTCCAGGGGTAAGACTGGAGAGAAGAGGTTCTCAACCGAACCTGAAAACTAGCAAACCTTTCACAGCATGGATGAGTAAACAGAATACGCGTCGCCTTACCTTGCGGCGCGGAAGGAATTGAATATATAAGACAGAGAGGATACGAAGCGTACCACTCTACAAGACTTGCATTTTGACTGGAAGCTTCCAGATGAGCCCGTTAACGGCCCGGTGAAGACAACGGTAGTTGTGGCAAATGAGTCCATCACATGGCAAGATATGGGTCTTGAACAAACATCAGATTGTAAAAGCGCCATACATCTGCTCTGCGCCATCAGAAAGAGTGTATGATAGTACACAAACGTGAGGTTTCATGGACCAGGGTGCCAGCACATGGGTTGAGTCATAGCCAGATCATGATGTACTGAGAACAAGTGGACACCGTTTCCAGCGGTAACAGTGCAGAAGGCTAGAGAGGTGCCGAACATAACGTAGTCCCAAGCACGGCCGCAACGCAAAAGGTAAAAACAGTCAAGAAGTAAGCTTCTGACCGTGAGTGGCCATCGTTTCCACGCTGGATAACTGGGTGGTGATCCAGTCCACAAAAGGCAAAGGCCTTGGAATCTAACAGGTATAAACAACCGTCTACGTTCCTAACGCCATGGCCAATACGACTGTCCGTGGTGCACAGGCAATCCACGGCCAAAATCCTCAGGTAACTCATCATTCACAGAATGAGGATACGATTTCTCACGGCTAATTTAGTATCTAGTCGAAACTGTTGTCCGAAACCGAATCTATGAATCCACATACTGGAAGGAGCATTGCTTTGCGTTAACAGGTGACTTAGGGTGATCGAGAGTTTGTTACAAGAAGCTAGTGTTGATGAATGTCTTTTTTCTCAGCTGAGAGTCTTATTGACAGGGCCATTGGGCTGAAGAGCGTTGGTGGAGTATATGGAAACCAGAAACCAACCGAATATTTGTGCTTACTCTTGAAGCTTCTGCAAATCCAGCCCGAGAAAGAAATATTACTCGAGTATCTTCAGGCGGACGAATTCAAGTACGTACTATTTTATACTATCGTGATCGCTCTCATGTTGAATTCTGTGCAGATATTTGAGAGCGTTGGCCGTGATGTATGTCCGAATGACATTCAGAGCAGTAGAGGTGTATGAGATACTAGAACCCTTACTCAAGGATTATAGGAAGTTGCGGTATCGGAATATGGGTCCGTCTAATATATTCCTGTGATGACTACCTTTACTCAATTTCTCACAGGTGGGTATTCTCTAACACATATGGATGAATTCGTGGACTCTCTCCTAACAGAGGAGAGAGTTTGTGATATTATCCTACCCCGCCTGACAAAGCGCGACACGCTGGAAGATACTGGCGAAATTGGGCCGAGAAAAAGCCGACTACTGGACGCCATGGAAGGAAAGAGCGAACGTGGAAGTAACAAGAGCCGCAGCAGAAGTCAGAGTAGAAGCCAACAATCGAACAGGATGGGAAGCGCGAGTCCGGTGCGGAGTGCCAGTGCAGGACGAAGTCTCAGTCGTGGTAGTAGGTCGCCGTCCCCTGCTGGATCACGATACGTTTCTCGTAGTCCCTCGCGATCACGCTCTGGCTCCAAGTCACCATTCCGTTCTCGGAGCCGCAGCATATCTCCGGATCGAGTGCAAAATGGTGCACACTCACCGTCGCAGTCGGGAAGTCGCAGTATCTCACCATATCCGATGGAGACATGAGCGTGCTGGTCAGAAAGTATGTATATAGGTCATAACGTAGCGCTACTTTTGCTTGTCGAATTCTTGCGTCTTGTATGCACGCAGTTGCTTGGACAGCTCCTTCCATCGCTCCTGGACCATAGGCATCGTCTCCACTGCAGTTGGAGAGAGGTACCCACGGTTCCTCCATTGTGTATACCACACTGCAAAATGTGAGAGAGATATGGGATGAAAGTGAATATCACATACAAATGTCTCTCCGGTGAGTGGGTGCCGCCTGTACCCTGTCTGTTCGCCCCTTCACACAATCACGAAGGGCCAGCGGGTTGTAGTATTCGCAAAATACCGTGCCGCCTAACTTCTCAACTGCACGAATCGCAGTCTGAGATGCACGGGAAGGCGTTATATGTATGGGAGTTTTTAGATGTTCAGCACCCTGCGGGAATAATGAGGCCAGCAGCAGCACTGCGAGAACACAAGACTCACATTCCCTAGCAGCTTAACACCGTCATGGACATTGTGTATACAGCCACTCAAGAGAAGCTCTCTGGCAGTTATGGGATTATCTGGCGTCGATTGTAACCGTCCCTGGTCTATCCAATGCTGTATCCGGTCCAGGTTCACGGGTGCCCAAGTCTTCGCCGTCCTGCGGAAAACGTTTCAACACTACCCTCCTGGAAGAAAAACGGAAACCGTACTGATTGACGAAACCCCGCTTCGGCAGGAGCTTCCAAAGCGGCGTCTGTCCACCTTCAAAGCCAGCTTTTGGCTTGCCGTTTCCTGAACGCGATTTTTGTCCATTGTGTCCACGACCAGACGTTCCGCCTTTGCCGGACCCTTGACCTCGACCTAAACGCTTTTGCTACGGTTAACACGTATCAGAACACGGTTACAAGATGAGAACTCCGGAGACTAAGCGTACTGCATGCTGAGAGTTGCGAGCAGGGGAGAGATTGAAGAGGTGAACCCGCCCAGATGTTGCGCGAAATGTTGACATGACCTCAGGCCCTTACGGTCTGTCGACCTTTCCGCTCACAGAGGGGATCGAGACAAAGCGCCGGGATAGAAACTTGGGAGTCCGAGTACTGCTGGTACTTACTTGTGGACCCACGTCAGTTACAGCAGAAGTCGGAGAAACGCTTATTGCTGATTTCAGAAGCCTTGTCGCGCGGCCAAATATTGCTGTTTTCAGTATTTAGTCAACAACGTCATTAATCTCGCTAATTTACAGGCTTCACGAGATCGATATTGAGCAAATTCCGGACAGGATGCACTGCGTGCCTATCATACAGCACAGAGGGACAATCTCCAATTTGGATGCACAAGGTCTGCAATGATCCATGGCATGTAATGCATAACGAGCGAAAGTATGAGATCGACTATGTACCACTAAAACATCTAATTATACACCTGGTACAAAGGCCTATAATGCAGGGAATTAGTAGTATCATACATGAAGGCGACAAATTGAAGCACGTACGTGCTAGAGAACTTTGTGCCTTGCCGCACGACCTTCTCGACCGCATCCAGGAAGTCACGTTCGGTGGTGACTTTCCGTCGCGCACGGATCGCGAACATGCCAGCCTGAGAATCGTGTTTATGAACGACTGAGCTAAAGGTACTGAAGGGACAAGGCGTACCTCCGTCGCAACAGATCGCAGCTCAGCGCCTGTAGTGTTTGGACAGAGACGAGCGATGAGGTCAAACCGGATGTCCCTCTCCACGCTCATACTAGCCAGTCATTTTAATCAATAATACGAACAGGCGCGGCAGAACGGAACATACTGACCTCCTTGCATGTATCCGAAGAATCTGTGTACGACCCTCGTTGTCCGGAAGAGAAAACTCTACCCGTCTATCCAATCGCCCTGGACGAAGCAGAGCAGGGTCCAGTGTATCGGGTCTACGGAGCGAAACATTAATATGGGGATGGCCAGCCTGCAAGATATTACTCACCGATTAGTCGCCATGAGCACTTTGATGTTTCCTCTTGGATCAAATCCATCGAGCTGGTTGATGAGCTCCAACATGGTCCGCTGTACCTCGTTATCGCCTCCCGCGCCATCGTCAAACCGCGCACCACCAATTGCGTCGACCTCGTCGAAGAAAATGATGCAAGCCTTCTTGCTTCGCGCCATCTCGAACAGCTCCCGCACCATACGCGCACCCTCACCGACATACTTCTGCACCAACTCGGAGCCTATGACGCGGATGAAAGTGGCATCTGTCCGGTTCGCGACAGCACGTGCACAGAGAGTCTTGCCTGTTCCTGGTGGACCAAAGAGAAGAACACCCTTTGGCGGATCGATACCGAGTTTCACAAAGCGCTCGGGCTGCAGTCTGTCAGCAATGAAACTGATATTCATCCTGCTGTCTCACTCACTGAGAGCAGCGGCGTCTCGACAACCTCTCGTAGTTTTTCAATCTGCTCTTTGCAACCACCGACATCAGAGTACGTCACGTCAGGCTTCTCCTCAACTTGCATCATGGTGACAGAAGCGTCGATCTTCGGAGGTAAAGGTATTTGGATCTGGTACTTGTTGCGGTCCACACTGTAACCCCTCCGGTCAGCATGATTCACATTGCCAACGCGAGTACGCACCCTACTCGCATGCCTTCTTCAATATCTGTTGGCGCAACTCTATCTCCGAGACCGACCACGAACTTCGCGATTTGTTTAATATTGATGACATATTTGTCCTGCTCGTCTGCACCCTTCTGACCCTGCATGGCACCCTGAGGGTTTACCGCTCGAGCAGCCTCAGCCGCTGTGGGATCGACAGGAATTATCTTGGTACAACGAGCGACCTGCAATGGGTGCTCTTCGCCCATGCGTTGCCGGTCTGCAGGAAGATCCCAGAGGTTGGGCGACGCGAGTCCCGTGTCAGACTCCTTGACGCCTGGAGGTGTGTAAGAGGATCCAGCTGTGAAGGGAATGGATGGCACACACCAAGTTTCTCGTTGATGCGTTTACGGACTTCCTGGATGTCCTTATCAATTTGCTTCAGCCGTGCCGCATATGGACCTTGGCCCTGTAATAGAATGAGTGCTAGTGCCAATGTGTATTCGACAAATAACGCACGTATGTCTTGAGAATTTGGATATCACTATCGTCAAGAGCTGAAAGATGTTGAGAGAAATTGCATGGAACGGTATGACATAAACATACCCTTGATCTCCTTCTCCTCTTTGTCATTAACCTTCTTCTCCCCTACGACACAATTAGAGCAATTCCCCGGAGGCCTGGAAGTACGTACACTTATCCCAGTTCCTAAACAACCCGTGTTAACAGATAACAGATAGAATGGCACGAAGGACATACTCTTTTGGCGGCATTGAATGCAATGGCTTGGAGGTTCAGAGACAAGGTGTTATGTAGAGGCAGGGACGCGTCACTCTCTGCCTCAAATGTGGACGCGTCTCGGTCAGCTGCATTGACTTCCTGACCAGACTCCCTCCCAGTCGTCGTACACTCGACCTGGCTCGCAGCCACTACCGAGCATTGACTGAGCACATCGTTACGTTCAACACACCACCATGGCTGGTGCACTCCCAAATGCTAAGAAGAACCTCCCAAAAATCAGCGATGAGGATCGCGAGTCTCGCTTTGGTCAGGTGTTCGGTGTGTCCGGACCCGTCGTTGTCGCCGAGAACATGACGGGGTGCGCCATGTATGAACTTGTGCGTGTAGGTCACGATGAGCTTGTCGGAGGTACGCGTTATGTTCGCCATTTTTTATGTAGGACTGACCGCGATGTGCAGAGGTTATCAGGATTGACGCGGACAGGACGACGATTCAAGTGTACGAGGAGACGTCCGGTGTCACGGTAGGGGATCCCGTCCTGCGCACCGGAAAGCCGCTCAGTGTAGAGCTCGGACCTGGTACGTCTTTCTCTTGACATTATATTTAAATACAGCTGATGAGTTCTTGTAGGTCTTATGGGAAATATTGTCGATGGAATACAGCGACCACTCCGAGTGCGTGTCTCCCCTTACTGTACGAGATGTAACTGAAGTCATTGCCCAGTCTATTCAAGAGTTGTCAAAGTCAATTTACATTCCACGAGGTATCAACACAGAGGCTCTTGATCGCTCGCTGCAGTGGGACTTCAGCCCAGCGGACTATAAGGTGCATTTTAGTGATCCTGTGCGGGGCTTCTTATATATCGTATCTAGGTTGGAGATCACATTTCAGGCGGCGATATCTTTGGACGTGTCTACGAGAACTCACTCGTCGATAGCCACAAGATTATCCTCGCGCCTCGCGCATTGGGAACCATCTCGCATATAGCTGAGAAAGGTAGCTACGGGGTTGGCGTAAGTCCTCTGCCACGCCTTCATACCAACATCCTGTATATCTAAAACATATGGGAAGGATGTCGTGTTGGAGACAGAATTCCAAGGGAAGACAACGAAGCATACTATGATGCAAGTCTGGCCCGTTCGTGCACCTCGACCTGTGGCGGAGAAGCATACTGCGGACTACCCTCTACTGACTGGACAACGGATCTTGGATGCCCTTTTCCCGTATGTTCTCCAATGACAGCAGTCGGATGCTGATAGTGAAGCGTTCTCCAGTTGTGTACAAGGTGGTACCACTGCTATTCCTGGTGCTTTCGGTTGCGGAAAGACCGTTATCTCCCAAGCCCTGTCCAAGTTCTCTAACAGTGACATTATTATATATGTCGGCTGTGGTGAACGAGGGAATGAGGTTTGTCTCTCACCCGACGGTGTACCATGGCTCTAACTGTATTGACAGATGGCGGAAGTCTTGATGGAAGTGAGTTGTCGGGGATCCAAATGTTCAGTGTCATTTAAACTCTCCTTAGTTCCCCGAACTTACTATGGAAGTTGGCGACCGTCAAGAGCCCATTATGAAGCGTACCACGCTCGTGGCCAACACCTCCAATATGCCGGTAGCAGCCCGCGAGGCATCAATCTACACTGGTATCACCTTGGCAGAGTATTTCCGTGACCAAGGCACCAACGTGTCCATGATGGCTGACTCCACTTCACGTTGGGCCGAGGCGCTGCGTGAAATCTCGGGGCGTTTGGCTGAGATGCCTGCTGATTCAGGATATCCGGCATACCTTGGAACGAAATTGGCTGGCTTCTACGAACGCGCGGGGAAAGTCACTTGTCTGGGAAACCCTGTCCGACGAGGTACCGTCTCCATCGTCGGCGCGTCAGTTGTTCACCGTGTTCTATCAGTCGATGTTTCGCTTACATGTCCACCTCAGCGTGTCTCCGCCAGGTGGAGACTTCTCGGACCCAGTCACGTCCGCTACCCTCGGTATCGTGCAAGTCTTCTGGGGTCTTGACAAGAAGCTGGCACAGCGGAAGCACTTCCCATCAGTTAATTGGAACATCTCTTACTCGAAGTACACGAAGGTTCTCGAGCCACACTACGAGTCCACTGAGCCGGGCTTCGTCGAGTTGCGCACACGCACGAAGGAGATCCTGCAGAAGGAGGATGATCTCGCCGAAATTGTGCAGTTGGTCGGGAAGAGTGCCTTGGGAGAATCCGACAAGATCACACTAGAGGTGGCCCGCATGTTGAAGGACGATTTCCTTCAGCAAAACGGCATGAGCGAATATGATCGTTTCTGCCCATTCTACAAGACAAGCTCAATGTTGCGGAACTTCGTCGCCTTCCATGATGCTGCCCTTAAAGCGGTGACAAATAGCGACATTACGTTCGCCAAGGTCAGGGACTCAACAGGCGACATCATATTCAAGTTGTCTCAGATGAAGTTCGAGGTGGGTCTGTACTTTTGCGTCATGACTGCGCTGCTCACGACCATACTAGTCGCCATCCCAAGGGAAGGAGGCGCTCAAGGGGAAATTAGATGCACTGTATAATGAGATTCAAGACAAGTTCCGGCAACTAGGAGAGTGAGATACCTTTTTCTCAGTATACTATGTATTATTCGAGCACTTCAACCTTTTCGTGGTCAGCTTTCTGAATGACGAGTGGCAGCAAATGCAGCGGCCAGGCCTCGGTGCCGCAGCACGTAGCCTTTGATCGACTCCTTCTCGGATAGGAGTGGGCCCGCTGCGGCTGATGTCTCATGACTGAGATGTAAGTATAAAGTCAAGAGGGCCCCTCTGACCCTCGTCCCGTTCACGTCTCGCCATGTTGCTACGCTCCGTAATATCTGCCGTCTCAGGTGCCCTGCTTGTCTGTGCCCTGCCAGAACCAGTCGCCCGTCGTGCCGATATCAACGAAGTTGCACAGACTGACGCAGATATTCCCTACCACAATTTGCTGACGGATGGTACTCAAGTACGGGTTGGGTTGGAGCAAGAAGAGACTATCCAGCATCCTGACCGGCCACCTCTCTCCCCCTCTCCGCCCTCCGGGCCCCATCCACCTGCGGAGGATACTGAGAAGACCATCTACCAGATCCTCAGTGATGATCCGAAGTACGGCTATGCACCCATGATGTATTAATGCCTCGCGGCTGATTGCGTTCGTGAATCCAGGTTCTCTCGTGTCTTCAAGCTTGTGAATTCAGTCGATGACGTCACTCGACTGCTGAATGATTCTTCCGCGAAGTACGCGCTGGTCTCATCCGAAATATTAATGCTTTGTGCTTACGGCGGAACACCAGTGTAACGTTCTTTGCCCCTCCGGATTGGGCACTACGCAAGGCGGGATGCAGGAGGCATGCGGTACAGGACACCTCTCCCTTTTTTGAGGACGACCGTTCCCGCAGTTCTTCCCTTACTATGCGTGAACAGAACTTCAATCAACATGATCTTTTCCAGGTCGCCCACGGTTTTATCGACCTCGGCTCTACGTCAGAGTGCAATTCACTGAAACACTCTGATATGGCCAAGATCATTCGCGCCGTTCTATTGTATCACATTCTTCCAGCAGCATTGCCTACCAATGAGTTAGCCAAGAACACTACTCGGGCGACAAATCTCACACTGAGCGACGGTTCCCTGGGCGGCGAACCCCTGCGAGTCCGTGTTAGCTATGCGTCCAGGATAGCGCCTATTCTCGCGGTTAACGTCTACGCCAAGATTGTTAAAGGGGATATTTCCGCCGCAAACGGTCAGTCGATGCGGCCAGAATTTTATGATGTTGACATAGAATGTTCCTTTGGTAGGTATTATACATGAAATCAATCACCCGCTGCTTCCTCCCCCCACTATTTTTGAGAGCCTGTTTTTACTACCAGACATTTTCTCAACATTGGTGAGCGACTTGTCTTTCTTATCGGCAAGACTGACAATGTTCTAGACTTCTGCCCTTGGACGCGTTGGTATAGCCAACAAGATCGACTACCATCATAACGGGGAGAATGGAGGGACTCCTGCGGTCACTTTCTTTGCGCCGACCAATAAGGCGTTCGACAAACTGCCGAGGAAGTTGAAATTCTACCTCTTCTCTCCCTTTGGAGAGAAGGCATTAAAGAAGCTACTGGAGTATCACATCGCACCTGGGTTCATTCTCCATTCTGGTATGAAACGTCTTCGCCGGCCTTTCATCACTGCTTACTCTCCGCTTCTTATTAGATTGGGTGCACAATGTTTCAGACGCCCTCGACGTGTACCGTGAGGACGAGCGAAGCGGCGCCATCGGTCCTTACCACCCACAAGTGAGGTCTACCAGCGATGCGTACACGATGCCAGAGTGGGTCACAACGTTTGAGCGGTTGAGCGGCTTCTATCGATGGATGGAATGCGAGGGGACCACCTCATCGTCCGGCAAGGTACGTCCATTTGTTGACAGGTTGTCTTCGCTCATTTACCTTGGCCATGCTTCAGGTGCATGTGCACCCAAGGACGGCAATTGTGTGTCCACATGGATACAGCGTTTCCCATAGCCGGTTGGTGGCTCCAGGTTTCCCACTTCCAAGACCTCCGCCGCCTGTCTTCGAGCGTAATCTCACCGTGCCCACACTCCTGAGTAACCATTCTCTGGGAGTGTACGTCACGCAGTTCGAGACCAAACTTCCCCTGCGTAGGCGGGTCTACCACACACATGTGCTTGTCGACCACCAACTGGTAACAGTATCTGACCTCGTGGCCAGAAACGGCGCTTTCCACGTCGTGGAGCGCGTACTGAACCCGATCAGACACCCCAGAAGGCACCCCGAGACGCCCACCGATGTTGAAGAGGACGAATGGCAGGATTGGGAAGAGTGGTTGCCACGTTGGGCGGAAGAGAATTGATCTTCATACTGATCACTGAAACTGCTGTAGGCTACAAGTGTGCGTGCTGAATATAGGTGTCTCCATGTCTCCTGTGGGTTCACGATGGGTCGGGATGTAAAGAGTCACCGTCCTGCAAGAACAGAGATGCATCTGAGTCTTCGAAGATGTCCACAGGATCGTCGTACTGCTTCTCCTGATTTACTTTCTCTCTTATGGGATGTTCAACCGCAACCCGACTAGACTTTGTCAGGTGCTGGCGAGAGCGTTTATGGAGGCGCGATCTCAAGTGAGCTTGCCAGAAACGCTCTTCGACCATGACAGGTTCCTCCTTGTTGGTCGTGCATACTGCACAGGTCACTTTACGCCTTGCGCTGAAATTCAGCAATTAGCACGCAAAATATATAGATCAGTACTGCACACATCCTCACTTGGTGAGATTTTCTTCAATGTTTAACATATGCCGAGCGGTCTCGGAAAGTGAGAAGGGGTCTGGCAGCTCCTTGTCATTCAAAAAGTCTACACATGCAGATATTAGTTCTTCGGCCTTGCAAACTGAATCACGCTGTCACCGTGTGTGAGTTGTTCTGCAACGTCTCCGACATTCGTAGTCCATGTGTCCCCGAGTTCTAGCGTCATGCGGTAAAAAGACAACTGCCGCGTCTAAGTATGTTATCTCACCTGTTGCATCCAGCAGATACACAGGAGTTACGACGGTCTCACTTTCGGCTTGACTGCGAGCGTTGGCTTTGTATGCCAGAGGCAGCATCTGGTTTCGAATCCAACTAATCTGCCTCCGTGAGTATCTTCTGGTGGCAACCTTCATACGTTCGACGGCCTCGTTGAATAACTTCTCAGAGGGTGCAGTTGCGTTTAGATACTCAAAAAATTCCTTGAATCCTGGTGGTGACTTAGTAAGGTGAATTATGCATGACATGAGCGGAAAGAATTACCGATGCACTGGTAGATTCCAAGTGTGTGGTCGATATCCTCCGCATCCGAGTCTTCTGCATCACTCTGGCTGAAGGAGGATGCAGAAGGTGAGGCGACACTTCTCAACGCTTGGATTTCTTGGAGAAGGCCTTGCTACTACTGAACGTTATCATACTGCAACAGGTGACATGAGAACGTAACGTACCTCTATCATCTGGTCAACACGGGCATTCAAGCGGGGAAACAGCTCTGTTGTATTGGCGTAGAGCCAAAGGCATAGTGTTCGATACCTTCATTAAATCCATGAGCTCGCGCCGACATTTTGTTGGATGTGTGAATATCATACCTTGGTGGAACAATAACTTGTGCCTGCTCGGCGAATATGGCGGTTGACGTACGACCATTCTCACGAATGATACACACTTCCCGCAATGTCTTTCTGGTATCCCTCCAATGCCAACTTTTTGCCCTTTCAGGGTCGATGATAGATAATAGTGCATATAGAGAGGTCGCAGCTTCCGGCTCTGTCTCAGCAGAAGGGGGTTGCTCAGGGAGAGCATTATATAGATCTAGCAGCTCAGGTGGGAGGGACGCCACGGCTTGCGCCAGTTCTTCGGACATTGGAGGAAGAATTCCAGGGGGGGATACCTGCCGTGTTGTCTGGCCAAAGGATGCCAGTCGGTTCGGGAAGATAAGATTTTGCATCCAATACGACGTTCCGCCTACCACGATGGGGATTTTACCTTGTTTGTGGGCCTCATCAATCTATACGATACGCCATTCATGAGGTGGTCTCCGTGTAAATTTGGGTGTTAACATACAGCTTCTATAGCATCCCGGACCCATTCGGTGACGATGTACTGCTCGCCTGGTTTTTTGAAATCCATCAACACATGCTCAACACCACACCTCTCCTCGAATGGGACCTTGTTTGTGATGACATCCACCCCTGCATAGACCTGCATAGAGTCCGCATTGATGATCCTTGCACCATGATAGCCTTGTTTCCGACCCTCCGCTAAGGCGAGGGCAAGCTCGATAGCCAACTTTGATTTGCCCACGCCGGTCGTCCCGCAGATTGCAATCAATGGCCGTGCAACAGAGATATTCAGCGCATGGCTGCACATATGCAGCAAGTACCCTAGCTGCGGCAAACCGGTAGCAGATTTCGGGCTTGAAGAAAACTTCGAAAGTCGGAGGGCTGATCATCATTACATAATGGGCGCGAGTGCCTCATTTGGTAACCCTTGCACTTCCTTTCCACGATACCGGTGACCTCATCCGAGCGATATTTATTCTGCTGTTTGTCTGAGGCCCCGAGGCGACAGCTGACAGAGGGTAGGACGTGCATCTGTACATTATTAAGTTCTTTCTATGCAATTTGTTCTGATCTTATCCACGCGAATACTTAGATCGCTTGAGCCATTGCGCCGGCGGGTCTCTCATGAAAAGTCCGAGTGTTAATCCTTACCGACGCGTCCTGGGGTGCCGTACGAGATATGCAGGATATCCGGCATGGCGAAGGCACCTACATGTTCAGAATGATATCGGGCCAGACCTCCCAGCGGTAGAAGTTTCCCGCCTTATGGAACAGCATGCGCAGCAGCCTCCTTGGCCGTTGACGCTCTCTACCTTTCTGTCTTTCGCTCGTCCCATCACAGAGGTGTCCGTACTATCTTCTGTGGAGTATGTTTTCGCAGAAATTCCTCGCAGACTTGCCTCGCGCGCTCGCTCGCTGGAGGCGCTACCATTCATTGTCGGCATGAATCCGTTCATTGCGCGTACGCTTCAGGCTTACCGCAGGAGCTTCCAATTTCTCACTATGCACCCCCCTGTCAAGACACTACAGGAAAATGCTTTTTTTGCTGTGCAGCTTGAAGCATTTGTGCAAAGCCATGCGAATGACATACCAACTATGGCTAAAGGGTGAGTTATACATTGACAGGCAAACATCGTCAACCAGCTGACACCGCAGCAGTTTTCAGGAGTGTTCCCGTTACATGACACCGGAGCAGATCAGTGAATTTTTGGATGGCGCAATCCGTAACCGCATTGCAATGCGCCTGATAGCAGAGCAGCACATCGCATTATCTCGCTCTTTGATGCAGAAGGAGAACAGCCGTGATCACCTCGGCATAGTACACATGTCGTGTTCTCCGCGGGACACGATATGTATGTGTGGATCCTTTGTGAGCGAGTTATGTGAGGCTACTCTCGGCGCAAGTCCGAAGATCATCATCGACGGTGAAATAGATGCCACTTTTGCGTAGGTGCCTCATTTCGCCCCATCATATGGTACTCTAAAAAGATACACTTGGCAGATATATTCCTGTGCATCTGGAGTACATCCTTACCGAGATTCTCAAGAATGCCTTTCGCGCTACTGTGGAGAGACACCACAAACTATACGCCTCCGCTACCTCGACACCTCCTATACCTCCTGTTGTCATCACGATCTCGCCGCCCCCACCGCTCACGTCTCATGCTCGCGTTGGGCCGGCATTTCTCTCCATGCGTATTCGTGACGAGGGTGGAGGTGTACCCTCTGCCAACATGGGACGCATTTTCTCCTACTCATTTACAACTGCCGGTCGTGGTGCCGAAGACAGTCTGGAAGATGCAGATAACGGACTTGGTGGAGGTCCATACGCAGCGCAACATGTTGGTGGAAGCGCGGCTGTCGATGGAAACGGAGGTACGGGTGGCTTGTTCACAGAAATGACGGGACGGAGTTTGCAAATGGGTTTGGGCACGATCGCAGGCCTTGGATACGGGTTGCCAATGAGCCGGCTGTATGCACGGTGCGTGCATACTTTTATAAATTGTCTGAGTAATCCTATAAGAATCTCCTCAGATACTTCGGAGGTTCGCTTGACTTCCTATCGTTGGAAGGATGGGGTGAGATGCACTTTCCACGTGGTTGAAAATGCTTTAACTGAGTTTTCACTAGGTAGTGACGTCTTTCTCAAGCTAAGAGATCTCAACGACGCAGGAGACGCGGAAATTTAGCGCCTTCAATCGTCGTTAGGACTGTACGCCGTGGAAGTTGTACCATTGTTACACCATTAATATTGTCCCTGAGTACACAAAGCGCCACTTCGTTACTTATGATCTCAACACATAGGGAAAAAGAACCACCGACTCTGAGCAGTGAGAGCTCATGAGGAGGTACTGTATGGCAGACTTGCGCTGGACATACTGACCTGCCATATTTGGATGAAAGTGTCTCACATGCAGACGTAAGCTCGGATGGGCGCTTGCTGTCTCCCGAGCACAGCCTGCAGCCATGGCCGTGAACGGCTACAGCGAGGTAGAGACGACGGAGGAGGAGTGCAAACAGTACGCTCCAGTTGATGCGGAGAGACAATCTCTTCTGCCTTCGCCTGAACAGGAGAATGATGGTGCCTCCAGCTCCAAGTCTGCTCTTTCTAGTTCACTATCTGCCAACTCACTTCTTCACTCTCGTTTGCAACTGTCTGCAGCCTTTGCAGCAGGAATTGTCGCGTGCTTGCTTATCCAAATACTTGTCTCTCCCCAGCTCTGGTTCCCACCGCCCAAGGGTGGTAATTCAGGCTACTCCTCTAGCCATGCTGGTATGCAGGCTCCTCCATACGCCGGTTCCAGCGAGGTGCATAAATTTCCACCAGCTTCGCCGACAAATGTCTTTCCATCTATGTTTCCAACGGGTGTGGGCCACGCTGGTCCCACACCAACAGGAGCTGAGCCTGCACTCATCGCTACCGCTCCTTCTTACCCCCTCCACACTGGTGCCGCGCACCTAGTCTCCCCTGATTTCACCGCGACCTCAGGTAACAAGAGTCACTTTGACATATTCAGGCACTGGGGCAATTTGTCTCCCTGGTTTAGCGTTGGGCGTGGCGCGTTTGGAGTGGATTCCAGCCCAGAGGCCCCGGAGACGTGCCGGGTTACTGGGTTGCATCTCTTGCACAGACACGGTGCTCGGTACCCCACGGAATTCGGTAGGTCTTCAACTTCATTAAGGATTCGTGATGTATTTGGGTGCTATCACACGTCACATAGCATCGTATGGTGGTCCTGCCAAGCTGGCCATGAAATTGCATGATGCCGCTGCCAAGTGGACGGCTATTGGTGATTTGGCATTCTTGAATGAATGGTGAGGATAGATAATTTCACGTCATTTCACGGAACATGGCTTTTGACCTACGTCTTGCTAGGACCTATAAGCTGGGCGAAGAAAGTATGCTGTTTTGTACATGATCGCGGTGTGCCTTATCTGATCTATTCCAAGTTTTGACACCCTTCGGAAGACAGCAACTCTGTGAGGTTAGGTCCTTATGCTCTGGAATCCATAGCTCAACAGGAGGGTTCAGACGATCTCGGTGTCTCAATGCGCATCAAATATGGATTTCTGTTGAAGGTAATTTTGAGTATCATTATTCCCCTGCGAGTATCTTTCTTAACGCTGTTCTCCGTAGAATTTTACCGAATCCAACACGGTACCAGTCTTCCGTACTGAATCTCAGTGGGTCGAAGACGTCAGTCCATTTATCTCTTTGACCAACATGACTGCATGTCCATCAGAGATCGTATGTTGGCGTCAGCGCGCAATTTTGCAATCGGCTTCTTCGGATATCCATTCGAAGGACAGTATCAGCAGAGTATCACCATCGAGGATCACGGTGTACGTCCCATGGGCTAGCGGGTAAATCCTCCTTGCTGACCAGTTGACTCCTGACAGTACAACAACACGCTTGCTCCATATAAGACGTATGCGCCTGGTGTACTCTCTGAGTCGTTTTCTCAAGACTACCCTGCAGATGTCCCAATGCTGACGACCCTTCGAAATCGGACCGTGGAGTCGATTACGTGCGCCAATGGGCAGCTATATACCTCAAGGACGCCCTAGCTCGTATTGCTCCGCAGCTGGATGGGTATGATTTGACAATCGAGGACGTGTACACTCTGCAGCAGATGTGCGCTTACGAGGTGAGTGAAATTTCCGATGGACGATTCTGTTAATACCGACGGGGTATAAAGACCGTTGCTATCGGCTATTCCCGATTCTGTGAGTTGTTCACCGAAGAGGAATGGAAGGGCTTCGACTATGCGTGAGTCACAAAGTGCCGTCCGTATGTGGGTATCTCGATCTAACTCGGGTTCCACATAGGCTGGATTTATACTTCTGGTATATGGAACTTATTGCCATGGTTGACGGAGTGCTGAGGTAACTACATTTTTAGGTACGATTCCGCGTTCGGGTCCCCGCTTGCGAAGGTGCTAGGTGTTGGCTATATCCAAGAGATGGTTGCAAGGCTTACACACACGCCGATCGAGACGCACAACACTTCTACAAACGCAACTTTGGATGATAGCACCGCTACATTCCCCGTGGGACAGAGTCTCTACGTTGATGCTACCCACGAGGTTGTCGTTCTTCACGGTACACTTCGTTTACTTACTATTTCCCGGGAATGCAAGCTGACGTCTACGTGTATCAAGTCATTACTGCGTTGAATCTCACCACGCTGGCTGCCAATGGTCCCTTGCCTGCCGATCACATTCCTCGTCATCGCTCCTTCAGGTCGTCTCATCTCGCACCGTTTGCGACCAACATCCAGTTCCAGCGTAGGCCAAGTATCCGTTTCATGTTGGAATGTTTGCCCGCTCATTGTTTTCTTGATGTGTTGCAGTACTTTCGTGCAACTCCGTCCCGGATGCTCAGATTCGAGTTATCATCAATGATGGTGTGGTACCTTTGACGGGCATCAAGGGTTGTCCAGACCAGAAGGATGGGATGTGCTCGATTGACACGTTCGTCGCAGGCCAGAAAGAGATCATCAGTGAGACGGATTGGTTGTACGGCTGCCACGGTGATTGGACAGTCCCTCCTGGTCCGGAATGGAACACGACGATCGGCTCTCCGCCTGCGCCGTAGGATATCGTTATGCTGACTGCTGGTGTTTTCTTGTCGGTGTTCTTTCGCTGCATACTTTCACTGGAAGGGAATTCTGCATGTAAAATATAGACTACAGTATTTTCCACAAAGTCTGCACATGCCGCGGCATGCATGGACGAAACTCATAGCCACCGAGTGGCAACAGAGACAAACATGGAAGGACACGAGGCGGTTGAGAGCTTCGAGCTACTTACCACATAGTCAAATGTCAAGCCCACTGCCAACAGTGGCACGGCTGTTCATCATCTGAACTCCCATAGGCTCGGTTTAGAAGGTTCACCATTTTGTAACGATATTTTACAGGTCTTGCTTTCTTCGTCACCCGTCTTTCGTTTCTTCCTCGCGCTCGTTAACCTCTTTCTCTCATGTCTGCACCTCCGACCCCAAGCATATCTCAAGTAACACACGATAAAGCGCACATGAAGAGGAGAGACAGACCACCGACACTCCAGCTGGGGGACTCAAAAGATTCGTCGGACGGAGACGTACAGTCCGAGCGCGATGTACGCGCAAATGCACAACGGGTAATATTTACTTCTCAATTTCCCGCAGCTCCATTTTGACCGTGCCATGCAGACACTTCTGCAAGTCCGCAATCCGGATGATCATGTCACGGAAAACGAGTCTGACTTGCCGCGCTCTGCATCTGCCACATCGTCCCTCGATCCGTACTACTTCAGCGTCCACAGCCCATCTGAGTCACCCTTGCCCAATGCGCGTAGTCTGCCCAAGACTCCAGAGACACGGATGGTGAACGACCCTGTGACGCCAGGCAAAGATCCAGCAGCGATTGATAGACGAGGACTAGTTGGGGTGGGAGAGCTTGCTACTCCACGCTGGGCGCGGGGCGCGCGTGACGATGAGGTCGAGGTTGACGACCCAATTCACGATATCGATGAAGATGATGATGCAGGTGAAGTCCTGATCATGGAGGGAGATTATACTCCGGACCTGCCGGACAGTCCGTGGACGATCGAAGCGATCGACGGTGAGAAAGAAGAGAGCGACGAGGTTCGTACTCCCCACCATTCCTTAGGAATTGACAACTCACAGGCGTGTACGTGTGTAGTTCTTGGAGGTGAAGGCGGTTCCACGTTCTTTGCGGACGCGGCGTTCGGTCGCTGATGAAAGTGGTGGTGAGGAGATTCTCTATCCGCGGCATCCGCTACCAGTGGACAGTGTCAAGCAGGAGGGTGCATACACTGCGAGTACTGCACTCAGTGAAGAGTTCCCCCCGACCGCCATTGTGTCCCGTCCGAAAAAGCGCACATCGGAGGAATTTGATATGGATCATTCTGGAGTAGCGAAGCATGAGAAGGAAAAGGCATCGGTACGGAGGCACAGAAGTCTGGGTGTTGGATTACCATCAACAACGACGAAGGAAAGGGTGAAAGATCGCAGAAGAGATACGCTATCCGTCAACGTCAAGCATGCTCGGCAAACATCTGCAAGCTCTTCTTCATCCAGCCATGGGGAGACATACCACTCAAGGCGTGTCCATACTTCCGATTTCTCTCATTTACCACCATCTCCTTCGTCATCATCCATCCAGCAGTTCCTGAAACACAGCAGTACAAATAGTACGGCAGGTTCACCCTTGCAGAACACCCGGGACCCACCCTCGCATCTTCCTGCCAACGTTGTTGCCCATTCTCTCCTTCGTGGTACCCAAGAAGGATGGTCAGACCTGGACGATCATGCGACTGCGGAAGCCCTGCGAAAGTTAGACGGGCTTTCTAGTAGGAGTGCTCGTGCGAGGTCCAGCATTGGTGGTCATAGCAGGGTGGGAAGCTCCAGTCGCCCCTCAAGTCGGCCGTCTACCCCTGCCATGAATGCGACACAATGGGAAGGTGTCCAAGGTGGACGGATTAGCAAACGGGTTAGCACTCATCTGTCTTCCGGAGTGACGGAGAAGGACAAGTTCAAGGAGCAGGTTCCTACACCTCGTCAAGGTGTTGGTCTGGGACTTGGACTCGGGGATATCTCTGTTGATACTGAGTTAAATGGTGCACGCCTCTCAAGCGAGGAAGCGCAGAATGGCTCACCTTCACCTGACAAGCCGCTCAAGAAGGCTGGCTCGATTCACACACGTACCAGTTTCATTACGCCAAAGCGCAGTTCAGCTTCGTCTGGCACTAATACGAGCACGCCCACGACAAGTTCACGCGATTCTGCCACGTTATCCGTCACCACGAATGCTACCTCTGTATCTACCGCATCTGGCCGGCAGTCGACGGGCAAGGCTAGGAGGAACAGTGCAGGTAGTGATATTTCCGTGTACTCTGGTGATGCAGCTTCCGCACGGGATCGTGCAGCTGCCCTTGCGATATCGTCTGATGGTCCAGAGGATGCCGAAGTACCACCTGTACCACCGTTGCCCAAGGACTTCTCCGGATACAAGCTGCCAGTGCAGACGCCAACTAATCTCACATCTCCTTCGCCGGACAGTGCAGGCGGTACGGAGAAGAAAATTCGCAGGGACACAGTTGGCGATGTCAACCATCTAACAGCGTCCTTGGAAGTCCCGTCCTTCCCTAATACCCCTTCTAAGCATAGCTCTTTACAGGTGCAGAAGTCCACTACGCCGACGGCTGTGCACAAGACGCCTTCAAAGAAATGGAGTTTGAATGCTTTGAGCAAGAAGTTGTCCCACTCGCCTTCGGTTACTTCGATGAAGGAGCCTGCACACTCGAAGTCCCCAGGTTTCCCGATCAGCCCGCGTGGTTTGCACTTTGGTCAGCAAATTCGCAAGTCGCTTTCGAAGGAGAATGCTCTTTCTACTGTCTCCAAGACGTCTGTGGAAGATTGGTCACCCATCAACTCAGACGCCATGGCTTCGGCCACATCCCTGGCGTCTGTCTCATCTGTTGGTTCCAGTCGACTCCCTAGATCTTCCGTGGCGTCACTGCAGCCTCCAGTTGTGACAGCACGAACTCCCGATCGTGTTGTACCTAGTCGATCGGGTACTGGTTCCAGCGCTAGTACTAACGTTCCTATTATGCCTCAACACGCTCCTCTTAGTCCTGCATCCTCTATTCGCCGCGAACCTTCTACCAAGCGTCGTACTCCTTCGTCCATACCCTTTTTCCGCCGCTCCTCATCGCAATCCATGCAGATACCTCCTGCGACCTCAATGCCACTTTCGGGGTCTCCAACGTCTTCGTCTGGGCCTAATTCCTCTACTCATCTGCGTGTACCGAGCAGCCGCTCGCCTACTAAGGATCCGAGCCTCTCTTCTCCGTCTGTACCCAATTCGGCACAGAAGAAGTCATCTATGCTCAGTCTTGGCATTCCATCCTTACTCAAAGGCTCCAGTTCTAGGCGGAATTTACATTCTGATAAAGAGAAGAGCGACGCCAAGAGTAGCAAGGAAGGATCGACTTCAAAGGATTCAGAACGAGAAAAATCCAAGAAGGATGAGAGAGATCGTAGTGAAAGTAGGATTTCAGTTTTGATGGGCAGGAAACGCGGAAAGGTGAGTCTGAAGATGTGGGTTTCGGTTTTGGTACTTAGCATGCTGCTTTATGTTATCAGACACTATCCTCTGCTCATCCGAAGAAGACGGAGCCAATTCCTATTGCTATGCCGCCAATGCAAATGTCAGCCATACCGCCTGTTACTGCTCAGCGTGTAGCCAATTTGAAGTCTTCGTCGTCCTCGTCATCATCTTCTAATCCATCTACGGCCGGCACTTCGAGACTGGCTTCTTCGAGGGCTACGTCTCAAACGGTGAGTTCAATGCAGAAACACTCGGATACGTCACTTCGCAGCCGAAATCAGTTGCCAACTATTGCCGGCTCACCATCAGTGGGTGCCCTTCAACCTCAAATTGTGAAGGATTCCAGGGAGGGCCCTCCGTCCACGTCACTGAATGCTTCATCCGGTCTATTAAAGGAAACTCCCACGAAAATCCCCCGAATTTCCAGCCGGTCTTCAGCGGTGAATTCACCTACATTAAAGGCCAATGGGACAAGTCGGAGGGTAAGCATGATTGTTAGCACCACAGCTCCCTTTGCGCCGTCTCGTGGCAATTCGCCAACTGCCGGTAGCGAATCAATGAACGAGTTTGGGGTTATCGAGAACGGGCAGGCATCAGGATCCAAAGTGACCACCACAACTAGTCAACGTCATTCGGTTCGGTCGCCTCCATTGGGAACGTCGCGTGTCCCGCGTCAGGTTGCTGCCACCACTTCTGCCACTGTAAACGGTGCTATTCCCCGTAAGAACCGAGAATCCATGTCGTTCGCTGGCTTGCGGAAGTCGTCTACTGGCTCGGTTACTTCCATCTCTTCGATTGCGCAGCAAAATGAGTCGCAGACACAGCACCGATTCTCCGCCCTGTCTCCTTCGAAAGGCCTGAAGCTTTTAAGTCCAAAGATGTCGTTGCCCACCACCAGGTCTTCCAATACGTCATTGACGCAGGGCATCCAGCAGGTCATGGGTTCTCCTTCCGCGAGTCGACAGTCATTATCAACGCCTTCTCCTGCCCCTAGCTCAGTGGATGAAGAAGAGCTCTTGGGTGATGAGGAGATGTTGCAATACATCAGAAGACAGCAGGCCAAGAAGTTGGCAGCAGGCGCTTCACAGGCTGACCTGGATGGTCTACTGCGCTTCCCGGAGCCAATCCCCCCGATCCCTCCAACGGTCCCAGCTGGTAAGTCATTGCTATACCATACTTTACGTGATATTCATCATCTCTTTCTAGCTATTCTTAAGAGTAGCCAAGCGCAATACCTTTCCGAGTATGAGCGCAAGGAGATCTTGGAGTGCCCGTCGGTGTACTACATTGGAGCTCACAGTGATAAAAAGCCAGCCACCTGCGATAACACGACGAACAATCATGGCTATGATGACGAACGCGGCGACTATCTCATTGTCAATCGTGACCATCTGGCATATCGTTACGAAATCATTGATACTCTGGGCAAAGGTTCCTTTGGGCAGGTCCTGAACTGTCGCGACCATTGCACAGGCGAGTCTGTCGCAATCAAGATTATTCGCAACAAGAAGCGATTCCACCATCAAGCTCTTGTGGAAATCAAGATCTTGGATAGTTTGCGGAAATGGGTGTGTTCCATAGTATTCTTCATTCATTCGTATAATGACTATCGAACAGGATCAAGAGGAGAAGCATCATGTCATCAAGATGACAGAGCACTTCTACTTCCGCAATCACCTGTGCATTGCAATGGAACTGTTGAGCATCAATCTGTACGAGCTGATCAAAGCCAACGGCTTTGTTGGCTTCACTACGGCCTTGATTCGGCGCTTCACGAGCCAGATGCTGCAATCGCTGTCATTGATGCGGCACCATCGCATTGTACATTGCGACTTGAAGCCCGAGGTACGTGCTATTTGGACCGCGGTATTCTGTCTCTGACAAGTTTTCAACCCAGAACGTTCTGTTGAGACACCCTGCCAAGAGTGCAATCAAGGTCATAGACTTCGGTAGCAGCTGTTTCGAGCACGAAAAAAGTGGAGTAAATTCTGCATGCTCAGTCTTATTTGCTGACGTGCATGCAGTCTACACCTACATCCAGAGTCGTTTCTATCGTTCTCCGGAAGTCATTCTTGGCATGAACTACCACATGGCAATCGATATGTGGAGTTTAGGCTGTATTCTGGCCGAACTGTATACTGGATTCCCCATTTTCCCAGGTGAGAATGAACAGGAGCAGCTGTCTTGTATCATGGAGGTTCTTGGAGTGCCGGACAAGGATTTTGTTAATCGCAGTTCGAGGAAGAGGCTTTTTTTCGGTAGGCGACTATTTTTTACTGGAAAGCTTGTCTCACATTGTGCCCAGATAACACTGGAGCCCCACGGCCTGTAGTAAACTCGAAGGGGCGGAGGAGACGACCTGGATCAAAGTCTCTAGCTCAAGTTCTGCGATGTGATGACGACTTATTCGTGGACTTCATCTCCAAATGCCTGGTTTGGGACCCCGACCGTCGGATCAAGCCACAGGCTGCATTGCGCCACCCTTTCCTCACAGCTAGTCGACGCGCGAAGATAACGAGCCCAACTCCTGGCACAGCGAAAGCGATGCTTTCTTCAGCTTCCCGTGGCAGCAAGGTGACCGAAACTCCGAAGAAGTCGATGATAAGCGCACCTACACCTCTGACAGCTCGTTCTACGAGAACCACTGTTCCTAATACCCCGAGTGGTTCGAGTACTATGCACACGGCACTGGGATCGTCGAGGTCATACAGAACGTCACAAGCGCAATCCATGTCGTCCTATCATGCTAGTCGGACAATGGTGAATATGAACCTGTGACTCCCGACGCTTGGCCCCGACGTTGACGAATAACTCTTCCAGACAACTGCGAAATGAACTTCATGACCTGAGACTGCTTGGTACTGAGGACTGGCATCTTATATGTCGATAGAACCTACTTCTAAACCGTTCTCCTTAACTTACAACTGACGAATCTCAAGCTGGTCTGATCCCCTTTGCTGTTTCAATACCCTCCATGTTGAGTTCCCTGTATTTTATTACTGCGTCGCTCTCGGTTGCTCGTTGGTTCATCATCTCAACATACGCGTTGTTGTTATTCGCTCCTCATCATAGCCATAATCGCATCCTCACCCCTGCAATTTAATATCTGGAATCACAGCTTCCTACCGAAGTCTTACAGTCTTCCATTGAGAAGGTGGATTCTTAGACTGCCTTGCAGAAGTTGTCTGAAACGCAAGCGTTCACGAAGAAGGGAACATGCGGCTTATGGGGAACCATCCGGTGGATGGTCTGAAGGCTAAAGGTGAACTTGTGAAGGGATGTTCCCCGAACAAATTTCCTGCCGCCTGTGGAGACTACCTATTGCTATACGATATCCTGCATGGTATTCCCTTTATTCAACGGCCATCGATGACGTCAGGCAATGGGACGGAGCTGTAATTTCTGGCGGGGACGCGGAGAGACGATTGGAGATTGGGATGACGGATTTTAAAGATGAGCGTACACGGATAATCAGTACGCAAGAAAACACTCTTACGTACCGCGCATGCAATAGGGACACAGATGGCGCTCCGAAGGGTGGACCGAAAACACTGAACAACTGCTCGCCATCGCTTACGGATTTTCCGGGAAGGTTTCACGGACTGAACTACGTTGGACCTTCATTCAAAGAAGCTCAGACAACTGTCACAAGACATGATGAATAGTGCACATCCAGCGCTGCTAGGTTGAATAAGTAAGAAAGAGAATGTCGGAGATGCTAATATCAGTCTACGGAGGTAACAATATCCATGACCCAATATGTGAACGTATCATCGATAGCAACAACGCAGTAAACAAAGCTCATGCACTCGGTTCTGAAAGAAGTTTTGCTAGAGACGGCAAGTATGCCTCACATATCGACGAGAAATAGAACTCGTGTTCTGAATTATGGGGACGAACAAGGTTATGCGCGATCTCGTGCGCCAAAGTGAAGTACCTGCCAGGAAATGTCAGAACGTCTTCTGGCGACTACGAAGTACCTACCAAGAGATGTAAGCATCCGACAACCCTCCTTTCTGTACATCCTGATCGTCTGGGAGTCATTCGTTCATTAGTCTCACGATAGACAGCCTGTCGTATCAGAAACTCACGCCATGCTTCAAAATATCGCAGATTCAAAAACAAACTGGCGTTCCGGTTGAACGCTATGAGTTCGCCACCCGAATCGTAGAATATGTGCACGCTACTGATTGGCAGTTTGTAAACTTCACTGAGTGGTCGAATAACATAGATGAAGCGCGCAAGAATGTTCGCTTTGGTGGACATGATGGACTTGGGGTCCGGCACACCTGTAAAAGACTATCAAGAATGTGAACACAGACACGGATCGAACGCTCTCGCACCTTGAGACACAAAGACCAAGAATTTGCCCATTTCACCTGTCGGACCAGGAGTCATGCACTACTGACCAAATGCAAGAATGATGTCACTAACCGACGAGAGACATGTCCGCTGCATGACCAGATACATCGCAATAACCTTCGTTCAAAGACTCCTTTACCCTCGTCATCTGTTGGTTATTTTGCAGATGCTGACTACTTTCGCCTCTGCAGGCATTAATCGCCATCTCGATGTTTGAGGCTAAAAACGAAGTCCACTTTAGAAAGTCATGTACAGAGCCAGGGGTGCAACCCCGCTCACATATATTGCTTCGTGGAGTAACGGCGGCTTGAGGTGTACGCGGTCGTGGACTGTCCATTTGGCCTGGCATCGATGTAGGGGAATTGGCCATCGACCCTGCCATGTCATAGACTCCCGGAGGACGCGCAACTGGCCTTTCTGACACAGGAGGGGTGGTCGCATCCAGAGAATTTCTTATTAGCTTGCGTCTGAAATTATCGAGAGAATCGCGAATTGCGGATGCTGGTCGACCATCCGCTTTGGAAGATGGTTTCTCTGTATACGATGTTACCGGCGGGGGTTGCGATATTGATGGGAAACTAGGCTGGGTAATCAATGCTGTCGATCTCTGCTTCTCCCTGTTCGCCTCCTCAGCAGCCGCATGTGCCGCTTTCTGCTGTCGCAGAATCTTGTCCACTAAGCTGCATTCAGCCCCTACCTTGACGGATTCGTGCGGAAAATCTCACCATTATATCCTCTTCTTCTCAGAGCTCGTAGATCGGTTGACAAAATAGTCATTAACAGAAGGCCGTCATTGGCTTTTGGTGAGTCGAAGAGGAGCCGACACATGGAGATTGCAACTCTGGAGGACAGATCATGAGACGACGTATGGCGGCAGTGGAACATCACCTACTCGTACATGTCCACCTGGTCGTTGCCAGCAACCCATAGTTCAATTGGTCCACGGCCATCTCGTTTTGCCACGGCAGATGCATCCTGGCTCTTCGATGGGTGTACGCTGCCGAAGGTGAGAGACTTGATCACGACCAGTTTACTGAATGTTCGAACAACAAAGTTCTTCTCGTTGTTCAGCCAGGAAAATGGAAGACGGGGTCGAGCATGCGTATGTTCGTGAAGAAACAGAGGCAGTCTCTCGAGAATAAGAGACCGAATCTCCAACGCCCTCCGAGAATTCTTGAGCTCGCCACTGGTTCGATACTCTTCCTTAAGAAGAGAACTCAATCTCCGAGATCCCAATTCCAAGTAGAATTCTGGCAAATTGGTCTATTGGCAATACAAACCAGAGACGAAACGCCTACCTTCGAGAAGGTCTTCCTGTGGTGCAGTGAAAATTGTCGCACCAAATAGCTGATATGCGTTCGTATCGTCGGCGACTACAACAACTTTGTCTGGTGTCAATAGATCGTATTCGAAGTCCCAGTCGTCCTCTTCCAGCTCGCCCGTGCCGTCGGTTTGCATGGTCCCAGACTTCTCTCTCGTGACGCGTCTTGACCCCAATAATATCGCGGCTTTCTTGAGACGAGCAAATGTACCTGACGATATACTTCGACGATTGACAGCGATGTTACGCAGCTCCACCAGGAAACTGTCTGAAGTCAGTAATGGAGTCAAACAGCTACAACAAACCACCATACTTATCGCGCCCCTCAGCCAGTTGATAGAACTGCCGGGGATTACCAAGTAAGATTTGAGCAATCTCTTCCACGGATGGTTCTTGCTTCGTCCCGCAGGCACTGAGAAACCTGTTCCCTTGTGGACCGAAGTCCACGAAAACAAATAATTTAGAGTGGAATTGAGCATTGGATTCGCCGCTGAGGAAACACTGGCTCGGAGGTAACAGTCGCATCGCCGAATCTGACCCCTTCTGATTCGGAACAAAGGGTAGTTGAGACAATGTCTTCAATTCAGCGGTGGAGAAGTCTGCATCCGCCAATCAGATTGGTAAAAAGATCAGTCATGCGATGTACCTGATATGCGGCTCGCCAAAATCGCAAACCATTGTCGAGCAACGGCTTCATTGCGAGGTGGTGTCCTCTGAAGCAAAGATACAAGCATTGGTGTGGGGGGATGCTCTTGCACCTGTAGCTTCGATAAAGCATCGCCTTTCAAGCTAGGGTCCACTACCATAAATCCAAGCGGAGACCAGGATGAAGACCCGAACACCTGGTGGTGTGAATACGAGTACACTGGAGGGTATTGATTAGCAACACACCTCGCGTGTCTTCGCCATACAACTGGAGTTTCCGTTCATGGCAGGAATGTAGGCCAACTCGGCAAATGCGGCGTGGTCGTATTCGGCATAACGAGTATTGAAGTTGTCAAGGAAGTACTTCAGAGCTGCGGAACGCACACCCTCCTTCGGACTTGCAGCGAGATTAAGGACGGTAGCCAAGGGTGGGAATCGACGCAGTCCAAGACGAAACAGTAGTTTGGCTGCGTGACACTTCAGAACCAAGGTCCATCGTCCTTAAAATGATACTTACCTTCCTCAGAGTTCGCTCGCCACTTCGTATGAGTACCCCAGTCGACGACGGGTAACCCTAGCTCCCGAAAAATGTCTAGTGGTTCATACAGATCACTGGCCTTATAACGGGACACCTTCCTATCCGAGTCACCCTCACGAGGATCTGCCTCCTTCAGAAACGCCGCAGTCATGCGGAGACGTTCCAATTCTACGGGATTCAATGTCGACTGTACTGCAACAAGATACTTGGTCAGCTCAGCAATTGACCAATCTCCTGTCTTTATCATTCTAGACACTAGGTTTCAGCCAAAGCAACCATTACAAAATTAGAGGCCTACCTGTCGAACACTATCTGAAGATCAACGTGCTTGCGCACACCTATAGCCTGCAGCACTTTCTCCATCGGCGCCTTAACGGGAACACCTGAAGGTAACAGAACGATGGGGAGGTCACGGAAGACGTGAGCACTCTGAAAGTAGGTTTCTTGTGGTGTCTTCATGCCGGAGGACGTAGGCACACAAGTCTTGTCTTTCAGCATTACGACCACTTGCTCTTGAGAGCCCTTGGAAAGAGACTGCCATGCCCGAGACAGAACGTTCAGTACTCGTTCCGCCCACGGTGGTGAGTGGGTAATGTCGAATTCTACGCCTAACGAAGACTCTGCTGGATCGGCGATATAAGTCAACCAATCAAGGACATTCAGCTCCTTCCATGGAAACGCCGATGCGAGAGCCTGGGGGTCAAAATGTCTGCTGATGCTGACAGGTAGCAAATGCGGTGGTAATGGGCCGTCTGTCGGTATGAGAGCGCCCAAGCTCCTGGTATTGAGAAAAGTCCTGACAGATGATACAGGGATAATTTTCTCGTCCGGCGTCCCTTGCCCCCCTACTGTTAGAATTGCAGCATTCAATAACTCTGTTCGGATTCTGCCAATATCCAGATTGCCCTGTTGTACTTGAACCCACCACTTGAAACAGGCCGTCATCTCTGTCTCTGACAGCGGTCTGGA